CAAAGTGATATTCTTGATTCTAATCGCCCAAAATGGGGTTTTATCTACCTATAGTTAAAGGGGAATTCAACCTTTATAATAAATTAATTTGTATGGAAGCAAAAAAGTGAAACAGAATGGCGAAAGTGTGAAATAAATCGAACCAATGATATATGAATGATTGAACTATGAAATCACCATATCTATGCAAATCTCAAACGGGCGAATGGGTCAGTGGAGCGTCACGGACAACTCTCCATTTTATATGTCGTGTATGCCTACACAAATATCATTAATTTCTTTTTGCTATTAAGTACCATCTCCCTTGGGGCATTACTCAAAATATATAGGCATATGATGGATATCATATTTGTCTAGGTCCTCTCAAAAGAACACATTCTCCCCGTCATACATTTTGAAATTAAAGGTACTATGTCCCTTTTGCAGCCAACCTCAAATGCTGTAGAACTTTGCAGGAATTATGAATATGTCATGTATGTCCTATCTGTGAAATTTAAACGTCAGCAGTGTCCTCATATTCAAATTATGCAAGGAAACCAGTTTACTTGCTAGACTTCACTGTCAGACACTATTGAGTGACTGACTGGCTTTTTTTCTTCTTTGGTAATAACATACATGAAAAGAGTTGTAAAGGGCCGGGTACATGAGCATTTATCTACATCAATAACCCACTTCTTGTGATGGCCAAGATTAAACTGATTGAATCTTTGCGCAGCATAAAACGTATGACCATTCGGTACAATTGTCTGAAAATCAAGACTATTACTTTTGGGCTCTATAGCCCTAAAGTCGATTTGACAACTAATAGTCGTTATTTTCCCACTTGAAGACATTTTCAAGCCCCAGCTTTTTTAGGGAAGTTCTAAATGAGTATTATCTTTCAAATGCAGTTGGAATTTAACTTTTTCATTTTTTTGGCCTGCAAATGGGACATAGTACCCTTAACATGTTAGTCATTTTGGTGAAAGTTTTCCGGTAATTCATCACAATGACATTTACCGATTATAAGCCAATTTGAGGAGCACATACGTTTAATGATTACAACTTTCAAACATTAATAACTTTCTTATTTTTCATCCCCTTTTCATTCAAACTTTTACCAGCTTGCTTCTTTGATTTCTACACTTTCTTTTAGAGCAGTTGATAGTTGAGTTCTGTTTCCAGACCGCAAATGCCTTCAAAGTGCATGGTTATTGCTCTTATTCTTATGTAGGCCTATGACATTTCTAGTCCCCTTTTAGAACCTAAAATTGCTATGAAGGTAATTTTCGACCCCAAAATATGTGAAATTTAGCCAATACGATCATACCAATTCAGCTCCACTTTAAAAAAAGTACGTTGACCGTTAATTAATTATTTGATTAAAAATAATACGGGCCGGCTGGTTGTGCGTAATATAACCAACACGAAAATGCCAACAAAAAGCCAACATCGGCATTGGCTGGAAAACGACGTAAAAAGCGCTATTTCGTTTTTTCAATGGCTTTTTCAAATTATCTTAATATTTGTGGTGGTACACAAGTATTAGAAATCGTTATATTTATGAATATTTCAGCCGTCTCTGAACCGATTTTGATCAAACAAAGATGATATTGTCATTTAAATTGTATGTTCTTTCAAATTTGACACACAATTTTCATTTTCTCACAAAGAAATTATTTTGTGTAGCACCCTCTGCAACAGAACTAAACTATCCCTTTAAAAAGTTCTTCAATCAAATTCTGGCTACGCTACAACACAACCGAATCATCAAGAGACCGTCTACATGTATGTAAAAACGTTTTCATTTGACAAATATTTATTTGATATAACTAGACAAACATAATAACACGTTGCAAAATAACCGCGACAAGTTTACAAATGATAGATAACATACAAAAAACATCTAAATTTAAAACAAAGCTCAATTCAATCATTGATTGTCAAATAAATATTGAGTAAGAATGTTTTAAAACCATGATACATGATGCTTCACTACAAAAATATAGACCCGATACATTGCGTACTAAAAAAATATGTTCATATGTACAAAAATATTAAATTCTGACTTAAAATGCTGAAAATGACACGGTATTTACAACATCACATCGCACTTAAAAGGCCAATGCATTATCTTAGTTTGGCAGTGGATTCACATTATAATGGATAAAAAGCTCTTTCAAACTGGATGTAGCTAAATATTCGATATTTTAAGTATAAAATAACCCGACCTGTAACTGCATGCATACGTTTTTGCTTCCGGGCCTAAATCATTGGGTTATCTTAAAATATAACCACATTTATATTTCGATTACGTAACATAGACTTTTCTTATATCTTAAAAACTTACAAAATTTGCAGTTAACAATTTAATTATTCATGCACTTACCAAGTTCTATTACATTTTGGGAATGTGACATATTAAAGCCTACATCTAAAAGTATTCAACAAAGGCCTTTATTCAACCTGTCGATCTTTCATTCTTGATCTACGTGAGTTACGAAGAAAAAAACATAAAGTTTACAAGGGATATGAATAATTCCGTTGTTAGTCTAAATTACATTTACGTTCTTATCTGTTTGGTTTTGTTTTCTGTTAGTTATAAACAAGTAGAACAGCGAACCTCATTTAAAAAAAAATGTTTTCTTTGGTAAAATGCATCCATATTGTCCTAAAGTTTAATACATTGCTTTAAAGGAACATAGAACTACAATGCATCCCAAATAAAAAAGAACCGATAACTCATTACCGTCTAGTATCAAATTTCAAAAGGGAAAATTAATAATTTCAAAGTAACACGCGACCAAAAAGTGCAAATGATAAATCACTTCTCAGTCTCATGAAATATTCAGGCACCAACTATCTGCATTTGGTTCGTCTGTTTCCAGTTGTAATGTGTAAGTAGACGACTCACTTTTCAGCAACCAGATTATCTGGAATTACAACTCTGTATAATAATGAATGTTTAGAAAAATTCATCTGACGGACGAGATTTATAAACGAAAAGTAATAGATAAGCACTGACAAGATCTTTCAATCACAAGGTAAAAAGTGAGAAGAAAAATAAATATATTAATTTGGTACCTGGCTTGCAAGAGAGAATCTTCCATTAAGAACAACTCACGACCCCTCTAGAGAAGATAGTAATTATTAACACCTCACAATTATTTACTCTCTACCGATTGTGACAGGTTATTTTTTTACCCAAAGAGTAAAAAAGAAAAATAAGGGGTATTGCTGGAGGGGAGGGAAGGTTACATATCACATATTGAAAGTTGTGTTGGATCCGTAATTTTTGTCAGCTATTTTGCTTGTTCACTTTATGTCTATTTTTGGATTTCTAATGTTGGCTCTTTTCTTTTCCTCTGGAAAATCAATAGCAAATTTGGTCCAACACTCCCACTCAGTCAAAATGGCGTAGTCATGCCCCTGAAAATTGTTTATACCTGAAGTCATAAAGGAGATAGCCTTAGGATTGGCAAGAAGCCAGAAATTTGATGAAAGCACCATTTGTAGAAATGAACAATGCAGCATATAACGTAAACAATGTAATTAAGCACCATCTTTCAGTAATTTACATATTTTGTTTGTTTTTGTTTAACAATAAGATTCATGAAGAACACGATTGTATGTATAAACTAACATCGAAATCATCTCATGGGCAATTTCATTATCCTATTGTATATCCCATAGGGACATTATTCGACTTACGTAACACATCATCGAGTGTCAACTTTCAATAGGTGACGCACAATACTAAATAAATTGTATTAAGTTGTTTTTTCTAAAGTTGTCGCTATCGTGTTATAGTAGCATTAACTGCTTAACCGTCTCATCAAAAATTTAGATGTTATGGTCACCCACGCAAAAATAGAGATATAAATTTCAAGAACAGTGAGCACAAAGCCTCCAGATAAAGATTTTGATTGGGATCTCTTGCTGTTCTTCAAGACCTTTCAGTGAGAAAAAAGAAAACGAAAAGCAACAGGAGATGCGTCCTAACTGCATAATCTGCTCAGAGCTATAAGGGACTACCCTGTCAGGACGGGTTTATTTTTATGGCAAATTGATCACATATTGTTCTTCAAATTGGCAACAATAATATTTTTCATTTGTTTGTACATTGTTAGAATATAATGTAACGTCTTTGATAACAATAAACATGATCGATAATATGGTAGAAAAGTTTGAAAAAATGGCCAAATTGGATCGAAAAACAATGATTTTTCAATCTCTCAACGTGTTGCCAATTTAAGAATTGTACTATTTCTCCCTTTTAAACAATTTCTGACATCGTTTGCAATATAGACATGAAAAAAAATATCTACAGAGAGGCATATCAATATATGCAGTGGGTGCAGAAAATTGTGCACTTTCTACTCTTTTTTTTTGGGGGGGGGGGGGATCTGAATCAAAGTTATAGTGCCAAACCACAAAATGTGGAATCGCTGTAGCAAACGGTGTATATGGGATTACGCGACACGTGCGCGATATCTATCAGGTCCAAATAGATATAATAATTTACCAAATATATCAATTAGTAGGCGGTTTCTCGGCAAAATTTGTATCATCACGTATTAGTCAAAACATATTCTTTCACATGATTGGAAATAAGAGCTTCCATTTTTTTTTTTTGAGAGGGGGGCATTTCCAAAACTGATCTTTACCTTTAACAAAATCTGATCGTTTTAAACAGAATCAATACCCTTCTATCTCTGAACACATGACATGATCACACTGCACATCAGTAGGAGTACAAGCACGTTTATGCACATAATTATATACGCATATCCGCTCTAAGGACTTCAATATCAAATTATTCTGATCAACAAAGCATAATGAAGTGGTTGCCACTTTGGCGTTCAATGTACCCAATGTATTTGTTTAAAAGAACAAGAGACAAAAAACAAAAGCGTCTGGTTATTGCTACATGCACCCTAATAATGTCAGGGATTGGTTTCCAAGAGCTAGGATATTCTACAGGGACAATTTACCTTTATATATACATTATTCATTTTTTATTTTTTATTTGTTTATTTCCTCTTTTGTTCTGAAGTGTTATTTGCTCTTGATAATGAAGATATTTTGTTGAAGCAAAGTAAAGCAATGAAGACATCTAATGGGGAAAAAAGGATGATTCATAAAAGGTTGCATCAACCCCTATCAAAAGGTTGCATCAAAGTTGAAAAAGGTTGAATCAAAGTTGAAAAAAGATGCCCCATTTGCAACTGCTCTAATTTAAATTATGTTAATCTTTCTCTGATGCCATGTTATATACACTGTAAATGTCACTTTAAAAAACAACAGCGTTCTCTGAAATTATTCAGGTATGGAAATCGGGACATAAAAGCTGTTGAATGCCATGCAAAGAAAAAATGAGAATAATAAGGTACCTTTGAAGTTCTTCCTTCCTCCCACGCGTCTTAAAAATAAAAAGATGCACCACTTTAATCCCTTTGACACAGCACCTTTACAATCCAGTGCATACAAGGTTTAAAAGAAGGGCAAAAGCTAGTAATGCATGGTGCATTTCACACCAGCCTGTAATGCACCCTATAAAACACAGATACGATGTGAGTTATGAAGGACCTTAACAGTGTGCATCTTCATTGTTCATTCCAATTTGCTAGGATTAAGAGCAGCAAAGAGGCGTAAAATGGGAGGGAGAAAACCACATCTGTACTGCATTATCTGTTGGCATTGATTCATATATGCTACTATCAGTAGGATATCTATAAAAGAAAAAATATTAAAGTTATTTTACAGAGAGGTAGCAGGAATGTACAAGACATGCCCAGGCAACAGATGCTCCGTGGTCACTATCATACAACAACCAAATTCTTAACTTCAACCCTGGACCATACACTCTACCTACATGTAGCGCTTACTCTAAACCTTAAATCAAACCTAAGACCCACTTAAAAAAAATAATAGTCACATTTTTAAAATATGCTTCAACGTACATTTCTAAGCATTTTACATTGTTAATATTATTCCAGGTCTTTAGATTCACTTGGTAATACACACATGATAGTGCACATGCTCCGTCTCTGAGGAGTATTCATGCCATGCATCATTTTACAAGCGCACAAATTAAACCATATTAACCTTTGAATCCCACCCAGTACCCATGTAACACCTGGGTGGAGAATGGCAAATGTAGATTAATGTATTGCAAATGAACATTACTGCCACGACAGTACTTAATTGAACTGCTGACCATGCGATCGACAGTCCAGCGATGTTTCCACTAGACCACAATACCTCTACCTAAAAACCTTACCGTATCGCCATATCTGTGCCACAATGATACCCAGAGCAACTGTCGCAAGAGCATGTGTAGCAGCATTAGTTATCATATGTGAAGAGGGTTTATGACAGCCATGATATCATCTGTCAATACCACACCTGTAAGCTGCAATCATATCCATTAACTTTTCTAATCTTCAATTTCCAAACCTCTAATCCTTCTTATCAGGCACGTATAATGTGTAAGAGTTTCGTTACCAAAAGCAATATTGACCAAATCCAAAATCCAAGCTCCAAAATTACCATTTCTTCTAGAAGATTATTATCTTGCATGGGGATTGCATTTCGTTCTACATGTAAATATGAAGGCTTAGTCTAGCACAACTTCAAGACATAACATATATGACCTTGGTATGCAGCCATCAGAGTAAATGACAGTTACATGTATCTCAAACTCCTTTGGATAAATTCAATTTCTTAATGACATTTAACACGGACATTTAACACGGACAGTACATTACCACATCTCCTCCTCAAATGAATAATAATCATCATCAGTATTCATTTGGTACATGTGTTTCCATCATATACAATATTTTGAATGTCTACAGGGGTCTAAAATATCACAGCACGCTTTGAATATTCCATACAAAAATAAAGAGGCAGTTTCGAAGAGTTAAAATCTTAAACACAAAAGAAATAGATGGAAGACTGGTTATATTAAAGGTAATACAAAGTTTTTTGATAATGATTTTGAAAATTGGCTGGATAGTGATTCTTTACAATGTTGATATATTTGGATGCCCCTATGGATGTCTTATAAGCACTAGAACATTTAGCCCCTAAGACACTTCTGCTTTTGGAAAAAATTTAATATTAAAATTTACTGGTGCTCCGGTAAATTTTGATAACTTTCAAATAGCGCCTACTGCCATCCAATGGTAGCTGGGACCATGAAAATCTCAGAATATGCAGTTGTGATATATAATTTCCAAACAGGAATAGCCAATCTGTTGATTTTAGTCAAAAACAATGTTTTATAGCTAAATCAATATCTTGACCTTGAGAGGGAGCTATACAACACAAGAACTTTGTTATTTACAATTTCATCACATCACTTTACACTCAATTTCAACCATGACAACTGAATATTGTAAGATTGCATATGCTTACAATATGTTCATTTGCACCAAATTCATGATCCCATACCAAAACTGTGTATTACCTTTAATTGTATGACACATGCTACAGCAAAAATTGCTCAGCGGTAATATCCTACATGAACAGCTTTCGTAAATTCAGCCCTGGACCAAATAAAATACATGAACCTATCCATAATCCTTACCCTTAATCCAACTTGAGACTCAAATTGCAGTTCAGACCCTAACTCTAACTATATATATATTTGTTGAAATAAAGCCTGGAGAATTGTAGCTGAAGCAAATGTTGTATCAGCATTCACGTTGGTAGCTCAACAAAGCTCGTTTCTGTGCTCCCCTAATCACTACGAGGCACTTACTGGATTTGATGAAAGAGTTTCAAGGGATTAAATAGATGTATCTTCTCGTAAACAGCAATTACCAGGATTTGAACAAAAGCACAACATTGATACACATTTACATTGCTGGCTCTATAAAACTTGCACTGTGCCCTCTGTATCACAATCCAAGACACTTGTGGACTTTCTGCTGGTGGGACATCAAGGAATGAAAAGGTAGACTAGTTTGGTGGCTCAAGTATCACAGAATATCTCTATACTCCTGTATAGATTGTGGGGAAAGAAAGCCACTCCATGTACAGGCAACCAATATCGTTGAGGCTCAGATGATTAGTTTGGTGGCTGGTGTACCACAAAATATTTCTATACTTGTTTAGAAATTGTGGGGCAATATGGCACCTACATGTACAGATGAACAGTTTTGTTGTGGCGTAGCAGATAAGTATGGTGGCTTGCAAAATAATCTCTAATCTATCATTGTGTCCTATGTCCTGTGTCCTGTGTCCACATTGTGAGCCACTTATGGAACTACAGGGGAAACAAATTCCTTCAAAGTTCAATACACTGGATTGGAAGCTCATTAATCCCAAAACTAACCTTGAAGTTTCCTTCAAATTGCTGGGTTTTTGTGAACCTGAGGGCAGACCATTTGAATCAACCTAATTTGGTGGTTCAAGTTAAACCATATAAAAATTCTCTTACAGCCATTGACTGTGAAGCATTTATGCACCTACTGGTGGAACAGTCACATGAAAGCTAAGAAGACTAGGTTGGTGGTTAAAGAAACATAAAATAAACTTCTCAGTCTCATCGGCATTGTAAAGTAATGACATGTATGCACCTATGGATGCACAGTCACATCAGTCCTAAGCAGACTAGTTCGATGGCTCAGTATCACAAAATAAACTGTAGTCTCCCACACATTTGAAGCTTTAATTCACCTACAGGCAGAACAGTTCGTCGCCTGGCTGGCAGAAGGGCGTCAGCTCGAATTTCAGGTAAAAAATGAAGCGTTGAGCAGAAGGGCGTTAGCACTAAATCGCCTCAAACTTGTATACAACTGACTTATTTTCACACAAAAGATGTGGCCGTGTTCTATTATAACATTTCTATTAGTCTTTTAAGTTTTAAACCAATTTTCGGGATGGAAAGCAGTTTAAATATAATACAAATCTTTAAGTGCAAATAATTTGAGGAGTAGTTTTCGAGTCGCTTGTGCGCTAACGCACTCCTGCCAGCCGGCCGACGAGTTACAACAAACCTAGATAGATTAATTTGGCAGTTCTAAGACAATGGAGTTGATATCATAGTCTCTGGGACATTCTGATTCTCTTATACACCTACAGCCAGAACAGTTACAACAAACCTAGATGGACTAATTTGGTGGCTCTAAGACTGTAGAGTTGACATTGTAGTCTAGAGGACACTCTGATTCTCTTATACACCTGCTGTCGTGCAGGACTCTACTGGCTGGACAGTTGCATCCAGGAATGCATGGGCGTAAGCACTGATCATTAACGATCTCTGGTGGAAGGTCCTTGTTGGCACAGGTCCTGGGGCAAGCAGGACCACACTCATCAAACAGGAAGCCTCTGTCTACCGGACAGTCGATTGCTGCAATGGGAGGAAAGAGAGAAACAGAGAGAGTCAGCATGATGTCGTCATCCCACATTCTGTTACAATATGCGATATCCGGTATCCATCGTAGTCAAATAAACAATATCTCTACCATAACAAACCAGCCTGCTGACTCTCTATTATCCTGAGTTATCTACCTTTACTAAGACCCTCAAACTCATCATGTTGGCAGCGGTGGGATCTTTGAAATCAAGTTTGATATTTGATACTCTGCACAGACTGCCCTCTCTAGGTCAACACCTTCTCTACCTGGAATAGTTCTCATTAACAGTTTAAGGTTTAAAGTCTAAGGTCTAAAATACCACTACGGGATAGTACATGTGCATGGTTGTCTATGATACGCAATGAACTTTAACAGTTGATTCATTCATTCTTTCAGGCTTAATAAAGGAACCAGTCGGTCTCTGTTGGCAATGGCAAAATTCAGTTAATACATCTGTACCTACAGAACACTTGGTAGTTGGTGCAAAGCAGAACATTATTTGGCCAATATTAAATTAAAAATATGCAGATTTAAGCCCTAAACCTATAGTACAGGTGACATACCTAAAGATATAGAAATATAATATGCTATCTCTTACCACAGAGCGAAGATGATCTCCAGTTGAGATGAATTCCTTCTTGTCTGCATTCTGCAGCATATGCAGCAATAGCATCACACAGACAGGTATCACTGGAGCCACAGGCACATAGATCATAGACACAGGCAGCATAGTACTGTTCAGGAGGCACTTTGGAATGACAGGACGTGAACCTACGAGACTTCAGTACAGCGCACTTTATGTTTGCCAGCTTCCGGGCCTGGAATCCTGCCTCTGTGCAAGGGTCCGTATCTTTGACATCACAGCCATCCTGGTCGGAGACCTTCCAGCTATTCCCAAAGACGGCCACCGAGCTGGCAAGCTGACCAGATCTGGTGCGCAGGTCATCCTGAGGGTAGCCATTGAAGTTTCCACACAAGCCACATGTTTTCCTGGCATACGTTCCTGGAACACTGACTTCAACATAGCTGCTCCCATCCCAGAGAACTGATACCCCAGAGTTTGTATTAACATAGAATGTAGTGGCTCTTCTCTCAACATAAATAAATGGTTGCATCAGGTATGGTAATGTTACCACTTCATTATTGACTCTGACGATACCACTTTGTCCTAAATTAACTTCATTTCCATTCACAATGACTGTAACTTCCTGTGTCCAAGAGACGGCTCCCATGTTCCTATCATCGTTGGTCACCTCGACAATAAAATCCTGGTTTTCACAATCCATGGTCATGATGTAACGGCAAGCTCCCTGGAAGTGGATCAACTTTCCATCAAAGGTGCGATAATGAGGGTCTCCAAACGCGATACAGGTTGCAGGACGCAGGATGCATCTTGGACAACATTCTCCAGGATTCACAACAGGAGTTTCGTCAGCAGCGCAGTTCATGACTTGGCAGCGTTGTGTTCTGCATTGGACCTCTCCTGCTACACATTCACAGGTAGTGCACTCGTCTCTCAACCACATATCCCCTGACTGGTAGAAGATGCCTTGGTAGGTGCAAGGTTGAGCAGCTGTCCTGCAAGCAAAGCAGCATGAACCTTCAGGTTTGTACAGTTCCTCTCCCTCAGGGCATGTTGGTTGCTCACATTGTTGGATCTCACACTCAATGGCTCCACCATTGCAGTTGCAGCTTATGCAATTGTCAAGACCTCGGCTCCAGGATTGTCCGTCTAGGTAATTGGTGCCAGTTTCTTCATCGATGCAACGCTGACAACGAGGACAGCATTCATCCCGGGCTACAAACTGTTCAGACCGGGGACAACTTAGCATCGGGCACATTTCACTCATGCATTCCCAGAGTGACAGGTTCTTGCACTCACATGTGTAACAAGGATCACTGTAGGGTTTGAAGACTTCTCCAACATTAGCAGAGGTGCATTCCCTTGTTCGTTGCTCGGCTGTACATGTGGCACAGCATTCTCCGATGGCTGGCGGAATGATCTGCTCCCCTGGACAGTCCACCATGGTGGGGCAACTCTCTCGCAGGCAGAGTAAGCTACCTCTCTCACAGTGGCAGGACTCACAAGGATCATTGTAGGGATTGAAATGCTGCCCATCGTTATAGGTCACACCGTTGTATACACAGCCTGGACAAATTGGACAGCACTGGTCTGGTAGGTACTGGGGACTTGTGCAGAAGTCTGGTGTCAGGCAACGGATCTCTGTGCAGACAGTCATACCATCTTGACATTGGCAAGTTAAGCATGGATTAAGTGGCGACACCCAAGACTCTCCGTTGGAGTATTCAAAACCTTCATACGTGCATCCTGCACATCGCTCACAACATTGTCCTATATCTCTCGCTTGATTTTCACAAGTTAATACAGGACATTCCTGCTCTATGCACAAAACATTGCCGTTCACACAGTTGCACTGTCGACAATCATCAGGGCGGAAATTTTCTCCATTGTTGTAAAGCCTTTCTTCAAACAAACAGCCTTCGCAAATGGCGCAACAAGAGCCCTTGACAGCATGTGTACAACGGGAAGCTGGGCACTCTAGTGGACCACAGGTTACCTGGTCTCCAATGCAATCACACTGAGTACACTGCCTATCAACGGGAAACCATACTGCTCCATCCTGATACTGTTGGTCGTTGTAGGTACACTCGAGACATCTCCCACAGCATTGTCCTTCTGCCTTCTCTGGATTTGGGCATGTCAGTGTTGGGCAGTTGACAGTCTGGCAATCCACATTTCCATTGACACACAAGCAGCTCTGACAGACATCTGCAGGGTGTCCAAAGGACTGTCCATTTGAAAGAAGTAGGTTCTCAAAGCTGCAGCCATCACAGACTGGACAGCACTGTCCAGGTATTCCTTGAGGATGCGCACAGAGCTGTGAACAAGTGATCGCCTCACAGAATACCTGTCCATTTCGGCAATTGCAGCGTTGACAGTGATCTGTTATAGGTGTGAAGTCTTCTCCATTATCATAGGTTATTCCATCAACGGTGCACTGTCCTGTACAAACTGGACAACACTGTCCTGCAGGGATGACAGGATGACTACAAGCTACAGATGGGCATGTTGGATCCCGACAGCTCACAAATCCATTATTACATTGACATGTACGGCACTGATCTTCAGGAGCTGGGAAGCTGTCGCCGTTAGCCCAAGGTTTGCCTCCATACGTACAGGAATCGCAGACTGGACAGCAGCCATCGTTTCCAGGATTTGGACATGGCACAGGACCACAGGGTCGATCCACACAACGCCACGCCCCTTCGACACACTCACAGTCTTGGCATGGGCTGAGTGATTCAAGTTCTCCACAGACATCCTCAGGGCAAGTTGGACAACAATCCCCAGGAACATTGATTGGGGTTGTGCAGTTCACAGGTGGGCACAGACGATTGATGCAACTCACAGATCCTTGCAAACACAGACAGTCCCTGCACATGTTGTTGGGGTCCATAAAGGTCATGCCACTGATGGCCATCACATCTTCATACATACAGCCATTACAAGTGGGGCAATTGCAAGCATCTTGCATGGGATGTGTGCAGGAAACAACATCACAAGGACGAGTAGCGCAGTTAACATTTCCATTCAGGCATGTGCAAACCCTACAAGAGTCAACAGTATCTGTGAACTCCAGTCCATTTTCATAGCTGGTTTCATCGTAAGTGCATCCATCGCAAGAGGGACAACACCTCCCTGGAAGCTGGATTGGATGAAAACACCTAGGTTGCGGACATTCCCGTAATCTACAGTCCACATCGCCCTGTCTGCAGATGCACTCACGGCATGTGTCGTTGCTGTGAGGAAATATTGCACCATCTGTATATTCTATGTTGTTGTAGTCGCATGAATCGCACGTTGGACAGCCGCACTGGTCTTGGCCCGGAAATGGACAGCTGGCTACAGGACATTCTGCTCTCTCACAGATAATATTACCATCCCTGCATGTGCAAGACTGGCATATATCCTGAGGGTTTCGGAAGGACCCTCCATTTTCAAACGGACGTCCCAAGTAAAGGCAGCCATCACAGACAGGACAGCAATCCCCAGAGATGGTCACCGGGTAGTCACACGTAGCTGGTGGACACGTTCTTGGTCTGCAGTTCACAAATCCAGACTGACACTCACATTCCTGGCAGTGATCTATAGGATTGAAGAAGACATCACCGTCGTTGAACTCGTCTCCATTATACAAACAACCGTCACACTGTTCGCAGCATGGCCCTCGTTTTGGGTATGGACAGTTCAGAGTTGGACAAGGGGCCACGGCGCAATCACTGTTTCCATCATCACAGACGCATTCCTGGCATACGTCTTGTGGATGTTCGAATCGCCTTCCATGCAAGAAGGTTTCTCCAAGGAATACACAATCCAAGTCGACACAGATCTCGCAACAAACTCCTTCAGGCTTTGTCCTGTGTGGACAGTTAAGGGGTGGGCATGACAGTGGACTACAAGAAACAGATCCACCTTCACATGAGCATTGTCCGCAAGCATTATCTGGTTCGGCAAACACGACTCCATTGGCATAACTGTCATTACCATACGTACATCCATCACATGAAGGACAGCACCCGAAAGTCAATGGATGACTACAGGAAACAGCAGGGCATGGAGAATCAGCACACTCCACCTTTCCATTCCTGCACTCGCATCTCTGGCAGTTATTAATGGGATTGTAGAATGTGTCACCGTCATTGTGCGTCTGGTCTCCGAAGGAACACGTCAACTTCTTCTGCACTTCGCAAATTGGGCAACACTCGCCAGGTGGGGTTCTCTCAATCTCACAGTTTTCAAAGTCAGGACAAAGAGGCCTAGTGCACAAGACATCCCCACTGACACATTGGCATTCTTGGCAATCTTGAGAGGTGTCAAGAAACAAGGCATCATTATCATGGTTCATCCCGTTATAAAAGCATCCATCACACGTGGCACAGCAGGTTTCTCGCATCGGGTATGGACAGTTTGCAGGTGGGCAAGGCTGCGGCTCACACGACACCTGTCCACCCCTACATGTGCATTCTACGCAAGGGTTCTGCGGAGATGTGAACCGTTGTCCTTCCTGGTACTCCACGCCGCTGTAGGTGCACTCCCTGCAGACAGGGCAACACTGACCCTCAGGGGTGTATGGCTGTTGACATAGTGCTGGAGGACACTCCTGTGGCTCACAGATGATGTTCCCGTTCAGACAGGTACATCGTTCACATTGATTGAGAGGGTTTCCAAAGACTTGTCCGTTGGTGATGTAGCGGCGGTCGTACTCGCAGTTAGTACACTCTGCACAACACATACTGTGGATCTTGCCAGGATGAGTGCACTGTACTGCAGGACAAGGTCTGGGCTCACAGGTAACTCGAAGGTCCTATACGAATATAAAACAATATTGTTGCTAAAAATGTATCGCTTTCAAATTTCCTGTTGTAATGATAAGTAGATTATTCTTATCTTAAAGAAACGTTCAGTCAACTGTCATACCATTTAGGATGATTAATTCAAACTCTAAACTCATTTTGATATGCCTGGATTTTCTAGAATGATTTTCCCTGACTGGAAAAAAAATGGGAATTGATTTTCCCTGACAACTGGGAGCCTAGTAATATTCTTGAGTGGAATTTCATCCCACAACAGAGAAAAAATCACTTACTCATGAATAACAATTTGTAATTCTTAAGATGATTGCTTACTTATGAATAACACTTTTTTTTAATGCTCAAGATTATTACTTACTCGTGAATAACAAGTTTTTGTAATCCTCAAGATAATTACTTACTCGTAAATAACAACTTTTTTAAATCCTCACAATAATTACTTACTCCTGAATAACAAGTTTTCCTAATCCGAAAGATAATTACCTGACAACTGCATTCCAGACAAGGATCACTGCTCGACTCCCATCGATCACCATCCAGGTACTCTCTGCCAGCATCTACACACACCTGGCATCGAGGGCAGCAGTCATCTGGGTTGACGTAAACAGGGTTGCTACACTGCGCAGAAGGACAAGCCTCGGAATCGCAATTAACAGATCCCCTCTGTAACAAGGAAAATTAACAACAGATGTTTTTATGTGTCTATAGTGCAGTTACTCTAGAAATATATTCTACAGCGCTAAATAAAAAAAAACCCATCTTATTTCCCTACCGACACAACTAAGGGTGCGTTCAAGCAAAACTTTTTCACCCTAGAAACACGGCTTTCAAAGATGTTTAGTTTTAAACACTGTTGCGTTCAAGTGATTTCAAGCAATTTTTTGTCGGTTATGAAAATAAACGTCTTTAAAAACACTTACATGAAACGCTGAAAAAGATGCAATTTGTATCATGATCGTACAGAATTACGGTCGTTAAAATTAGCTTGAACAAACAGAGATCATGATTCTATAACGTCATTATCCTGACCTGCTTCCGGTTGGGCCGACAGTCGACCCTAAACAAATTCTGAAAACATGCTGCGAAGTTGACCTATATTTCCTGGGTCAAATTGCACAGTGTGATGAGCAGTGGCTGGGCTTGCAATGAGTGAGAATCAGCGTTGATAAAAAATCGCTTGAACGCACCCTACACCGGCCAATAAATCAACAGTCCTGGCCAACAAGGATAGAGTACAATCTGGTGTCAGTATTATTACATTTATATTATTAAAAACAAACATCAGTGAGGGAATAACATGTGGAAAGTATTATCCATACACTAAACCTTTGGAACAGTTTGACACCCCAAGGCAAAAGCGAGGGATGTCCAACTGTTTGAAGTGTACAGATGGTACTGGAGCTGGATCATTAAAGTAGTGATTTTACTGTTAAAGGGATAGTAGAGTTCTGTTTTCAGAATGCAAATGCCTTCAAAGTGCATGGTTATTGCTCTTATTCTTATCTATGACATTTCTAGTGCCCTTTTAGAACCTAAATTTGCTATGAAGGTAATTTTAGACCCAAAAATGTGTGAAATTTAGCCAATACGAGCATACCAATTCAGCTCCACTTTCAAAAAAACACAGTGACCGTTAATTCATTATTTAATTAAAAATAACAATACATGAGCCGGCTAATTGTGGGTAATATAGGCAATACGAAAATGCCAACAAAAAATCCAATATCGGCATTGGCTGAAATACGACGTAAAAGGCATTATTTTGTTTTTTTCAACGGTTTTCTCAAATTTGTCAAAATATCTAATATTTGTGGTGGTACACAAGTATTAGAAATCGTAATATTTCAGCCGTCTCTGAACCGATTTTGATCAAACAAAGATGATTTTGTCATTTAAATATTATGTTCTTTCAAATTTGACACTCAGTTTTTCATTATCTCACAAAAAGAATATTTTGTGTAGCGCCCTCTGCAACAGAACTCAACTATCTCTTTAAGTGTACAGATGGTACTGGAGCTGGATCATTAAAGTAATGATTTATTGTTAAAGCCACAAGAATCCTTGTCTTTTGATGAATTTCCCTATTACCAAATTTCATGGATCTAGAGTCGACTTTCAAAGTTAGAATTTGATGGTCAAAAGTAGCCACTGACCAGTCATTGGAATGTGCTAATGACAGGCCGGTTGCACATTAGGAAAAATAAATATCTTTTTTTTCTTCAATTAATATCATAGTTTGTCTTTTTAAAGATATTTAATGCCTAAATCACCCTCCTTTTCACCGTTGAGGCTCCTGCAGTGATGTCATAAACAGTTGTGAAATACATGTACAGCTCCGAAACTGGGCTTTTTTTCTGAGCGTCTGAGTCGTCATTTTTAAAGATAGATTCCAGAATTATTGAAGATATTTAAGAAAAATCATTGTCATGGTCAGAATCTCCGTCAAAAAGAGTGGCCCTTTAAGATGTACATACAATACACACTGAATGTCATCACTTTATGAACTGACATATTTGTACGTGCAACACCAATGTACTTACGGAACAGGAGCATATCTGGCAAGCATCTGTGAAGTGTCTGAACTGCATACCGTCTGGGATGATCCTACCATCGTACTCACACTGAGAGCACTCAGGGCAGCACTGACCCGGTATCTGGACCGGATGGGTGCAAGGGGGGCCACATATAAGCCCCTGGGTGCGCTGATCAGTGCATCGTACCTCTCCCACCTGTAACGAGACAAGTTCCATAGTAAAGGACATAAATAATAATGATAATTAATAACATAATACGTTTTGTTAATCATGGGTAGCCTCATCAGTATTTGAGTTTCAAGTTTCAAGTTTGAAGTTTATTTGTTCCATATTTTACAAAAAATATAGATATACATATACATACAAATTATACAATACATGTTGTATATGTGAGCACGTCTCAATGATTCTCAAATCATATAATAGATTAAGTAGAATGTAAGGAACTATAAAAAAGCAGCGCTTGTATATTATTGGTTCCTGGTAAAATAAACATTGTAGATGTAAAAACCTGCAATTATATTATTACTGCAGCATTAGAAGAGCTACATGTACAATTATAAGAGGCACTCAAGCATTAAAAGAAGGTCTCCCTACCGGAAACCAATTTACTACACCTGGGTGGAGAGTGGCAAATGTAGATTAATATCTATATAATAGGGTATTTGTTAGTGGGTATCTTATTGGCTGAAAAATTATCTGGGCCGGAGAGCCTGCTTTGGTACATGAACTCACCTCACATCTACACCTCTGGCATGGATCTCTCTGAGAGATGAACTCCTCATCATTCTGATAGGTGGTGCCTTCAAAGACACACTGCCTGCACTCAGGGCAGCACTGGCCAGGCATTCTGACCGGATTCTGGCATGACAGCTGCGGGCACGGCACCCGATCGCAGATGATGCTTCCCTGAGAACAGCGACACGTCTGGCAACGCTCCGGACTCTGGACGATATCCCCGTTGGCATACAGAACGGAGCCATCCTGGCAGCTATCACAGACTGGACAGCACTCGTTGGCGTTGATGACGGGATGCGAGCAGAGATCCGTGCATTGGATCGTCTGGCAGGTCAGCCTGCCCTCAGCGCAGGAACACTCAGAGCAGACGTCGTACGGCGGGATGAACCTGTCACCGTGGTCGTGGCGTGTCCCGGATCGATCGAGGCAGCCGCGGCAGACCGGGCAGCACTCTCCATCAAGGGTCTCTTCTTGGCGACATCCGGTGCTTGGACATGGGCGGCGCTGGCAACGAACTGTGCCGTAGTGACAGCGGCAAGTGTTGCAGTCGTTGGCGCTGTTGAAGTCTTCGCCGTTACGTCTGAACTGCCCCTCATAGGAACAGTCTGTGCAGTCTGAACAGCACTGCCCTTCAGCAATGTGTCTAAGATTGTAGCACACAAAATATATTAATATGTATCTTTTTATTATACCATTATTTCTTGATCATCACTCAAATGCAAACAATGGCAAACAGACTTTATTAGCCCACATCTTGTGCAATTTCTTTCTTTTTTAACAGGGAAATTCTATATAATCACTATGATCACTTGCATGAGTAGCTGTTTTCTCTGACTTGATGACTTTACCTGAATTGAAAATAAAACCATATCATAATTTAATTTCTCAAACTTGATTTTAAAACCTGCAAACACATCAAATTACTAAATAATTACAATTACGATGATGATTCTCCAAGAAAAGGCAAACGGGATAAGGAGTCCTTTTGCTACTTGATGGTTTTGCTCACTTATAAAAGAAAGTTGACTTAATGAAACAACTTACCCATGTTGACACTCCACCCTGCACTCGGTCAGGTCAATGCATATGACCTTTGACTCCTGACACCTGCACTGCTGGCACTGGTCATCGGCCACCCAGCGGTCTTCATTGTTGTAGGTGCGGCCATTGTAGACACACTTGTCGGTACAGATGGGGCAGCACGCACCCAGGAGAAGCACTGGGTTCGGGCAAGGTGCGTCCTCGCAGGGGAGAGGGTTGCATCGAACAATGTTATTCTGCAAGCAAAGGAAGATTCATGTTTATACAAATATGAAAATGTTTAGAAAATAATATCGTTAGTGATATTTGTTTGTCTTGCAATGTATGGTCAACAAGGGATTTAAAGATCACGACGTTTTTTGCGCCGCTGCAACACTTTGTTTGATCCGCCCGTCAAGTATAAAAGATGCTTGCTTACTTTACATTTTATCACTTAACGAAATGTTCCAGCGGTGCTCAAAACGTCGTGATCTTTTAGATCCCTTGTTGACAACACATTGCGAGACAAACGAATATCACTAGTGATATTATTTTCGATACTATATCCGCAATGAGTAATATATTTAGCATTATGTAAATGTTATTTATTGAAGGGTTTCTGTATGAAGCCCTAAGAATTAGAAAGGTCAGTAGAAAATGGTTTGAAAGTACCTTTGAAACTGATTTGGTGTTAATAAGCTATGGGGCCAAAGGACACTCCTTGAGCGTAATTCTGAATGAAATCATTAGGGTGGAAAAGGAATTGATGAAGAACCAAATGTACGATAAACTATAAAGAACCCAATTACACTTACCTATGCAATGCAATCTAATATGGCATCACATAACTTTGGATGCTGAAAAGGCTACATGTAAACATTCTATTGGAAATTTGAACCATGTCTCATGTAATGATATTTTGAAAGAGGAAAAAACATAATTTCTATCGCCGCATTTCCTACAAGACTCACCAAACAAGAACACCTGAGACAAGGGTTGGACATCGGCGTGAAGAAGTCCCCGTTGCTAAACTCCATTCCCTCGTACTCGCAGCCGTCTGTACAGCGAGGGCAGCATTCGCCAGTGGGAGTGGTCTGCTGAAGGCAGCTCAGCGTCGGACAGCGCAGGGGTTCACAAGTCACCGAGCCGTAGCTACAGGTGCAGGATGAGCAGACATCGCCAGAAAAGGTCTCTCCGTTAGACAGTCTTCTGCCTTCGTAATCACAACCTGAAATTAGGAAAAGAGATTGACAACTTCCCATGACTAGTACTCTTGATTTAAAAAGAGAAGGCTTCTCTGTAGGACATTCTAGCATTGGACAACGCAGGGGTTCGCAGGTCACCAGACATCACCAGAAAAGGTATGTTCAGAAAGTTAGGTCATATTATACCCTCTTCTAATATACATATTCAGTGAAGCCTCTATTCCCATGCTAGCATGCATGTAACATCCAAAACAAATTATTGATCACCCAAGCTCAATTGCGGTGAAAATAATCTGACCCACAGATAAAAGAGAGCCATCGCTACCTCCACACAACAACATGTTAGATCTACAAGCACTATGGCTCAGTGGTAGAGCAGTGATCTCGTAACAGGAGGTCCCGGGTTCAAACCAAGTCGATGCGCTAGTGCCCTTTGGTAAGTGATTGATCTCTATTATCAAGTCCCTCAGAGAGAACTTAAAGCAGTCGGTCCCCTGGTTGCTTTCTTCCGAGCACACTCATGCTTTCTTAGCAGTCAGGTACACCCAACAAACCAACGAACCAAAGCGACTGGACAGGTTCGTTATGATGATAGGGTCAGAGCCATCGATACACAGAGTTTGGCCAACCCGGTTCGAGTCGGACACAACATGGCAACTACTGCTTTGTTGGGCAAGCACCATACAAAAGAATATAAGCCATTTTGTGACCCAGTGAAACTAAGTTGGCCAAACTCTGTATATAGATGGCTCTGGAAAGGGTATTACCATTGCATTCTGGGCAGCATCCATTTCTTGGTTTGAGTGGGTGTGTACACTGCGGGCTGGGGCAGTCTGTCGTCTGACATCTCACGTTCCCATTCTACAATAGTAAATGAAAAAAAGGAATGACATTTTAAACTTTGGTAAACTTTCCATCGTCAAGTCATGTTGATGTACAAGTTCATCACTTGTTTTGATTCTTGTATTCATTTATTTTTAATTTGAAATATTACATTGTGGAGAGCATCTTGAGTGATGGATGGTTCATTCCCAGGGGGGTCACTCCCAACATGACTGGCTAGGCACCCGCGTCCAGAAAAAGGGGCGAAAGGGTGTCTATACATCAGCGTCAACGTTTTCCTTAAAAAGGGGTGTTTTTCAAGCACTGATTGCACAAAAAACAAATAGTGGTACCTTTTCAGATTCACAGGTTAGGCGTCGTCTACTTTTTCCTTAAAAAGGGGTTTTTTTAAGCACTGATCGCGCAAACCCCCCAAAAGGTACCATTTCAGGAGCACATGTTTTGATGTTTTCTTAAAAGAGGGTCATTTCAGAAAAAGTGTGATACGCCATTAGGGTCCATTTCAGATGTTGATGGACACAGGTGGGTAGCATTTGTGTACGAGAGTGACCCTCCTGGGGGTTCATTTGATGCCATAAAAGGAGCAGAGGGAGTACTGGGATGAATGCCGATAGTTATGGTATTGAGATTTCTATTTATCAAGACATCTTCTCCCACACTTGGTGACAGAGTTTTCAACTGTAGAATAACCTACCCAGATTTCTTTGCAACCAGCAATCGTTTGAACACCTTTAAAAAGTATCTAAAAATCTCATCTGTTCTGTTAAAAAACATAATCATGAAGTACTCACCCTGCATTCACACACTGCACAGTTATCATTGAGTGGTACGATAGTCTCCCTGTTAACAATCATCTGCTCTCCATACTGGCAATCTATGGAACAGGAACAAATAAGTGAACATTCAACACAATATACAGCAGTTCAGATATTTCTAAGTGTCTACATGAAACAGCTTAATTTGCCTCCCCGAATTGGCCCCTATTATTCTGTAAAGTTGTATACAAGATGTATACAAAATGAATAAATATGAATAAAAATTTTGAAATGAACAGAAACTAGCCAATGTGTGTTTTCCACGGTGCCATGATGTGCCACAAATTAAGACTTTGTTCTGACTATCAAATTCATTTCACTAATATCAAAATCAAATAATTCACAGATTACCAACCCTGGTTGTACCCAAACCTGTACCCAAACCAAGAACCTTAGAACCCAACAGTACTCCTTAAAGCCTATCTGCACTAGTTTGGCCAGGAGGGATAAGACCTCTCTGCGTGGTCACTGGCAGGTGGTTATCTCATCAAATCAGCTCTCAATTAACATAAAAAAAGGGGACCATGGGGTATCAACGGGTACCGCTTAGGCATTGTGGGCTATATAGAGGGCGCTAGTAGCTACAAGTAGTGCAGTCCTGCTTTAAAGCAGGATTTCACTGTAATGATTACAAATGTACATGTACATAGACATACTATAGCAAACTGGACAGCATTCTCCAAACGGGGTAGAAGGATAGTCACAGAGGGTCGGTAGGCATGAATCTCTCTCACAGTCTACCGTGCCTCTCTGAAAGATATAAGACATACATGAAATTGTTTTAATAAGAATGCTAATATTCCATTCTGGTATAGCACATGTCACAGTTTCGTGACCATATTTGGACAACGTATGTCCCTCAGTAGGCCACCTTTTCACTCCATATCTCTCATATACGTACATGTATAAATGGGTACACAGGCGGGGGGGGGGGGGGGGGGGTGTTTTGGGGGTTTACCCCCCCCCCCCCTTAACTTTTTTAATGTGTGTTCTGGAAGGGGAAAAAAAACCTTTTGTTTTTTATTGAATTAAAACAAATAATAATTAAAACAAATAATGGTAATGGGTGACAAAAACAAAAATGTACTCTTACACAAAATGCATATTTCAAGGGGTCAGTGACATATAGAGGTAACTCCATTTCGGCCATTTTGAGAAAAAGTGGTTTACGTGTCACTGAGCACTTGGGACTTAAGGAGTTAAGTCTTTGTTTCACTAGCCATTGACTTCAATGGGGTGTTGGGTGGAGTTAAGTCTTTGTGTTTCCTAGAAAGCCCACATTTTTCTGAACATTTTGATATCAAATACCCATTTTGGAAAAATATGGAGTTACGTCTTTGTGTCACTGAACCCTCGATTTGTTGAAAATCATTATCTTATCACGCAGAGGTAAAACCCATCTTTAGGATATGGAGCTGGTCAATGCCTATACCATCTCGATACAGCTTAATGTTAGATAAATTTTCATTCAGGGCCCTGTCTTACAAAGAAATGTGATTCATTTGGATCAATCGCAAGTTTGCAATCTCTTATGTACATAGTTGCGTTAAGTTGCGATTAATATCAACTCTTTGTAAGAAAGGGCCCAGATCTATATGTCAAGAAAGAAACTTTAATTAACAAACATCACAATTTTTTTGCATTTTGCGTTCCGGACGCTTCTTTTCTTGCCACCTTCATATCGCTAAGCTACCTAATAAAACAAACAGCAGACTATCATTGACTTCTGTCACACATTCAAAGTGTATGGAATATACAGCATACACTTGAAAAACAATAGCAGTCAAGGGGTTCAGTCCGCATTAAATCAAGAGTTTAAGATAAAACATTCATATTAGCAACCCTAATGGTGGGCTGCCAAGACTAGTTTCATCCCTCATTCTGACTTTAGTCGAAGCCAATTTTTCATGTACATGTACATCACAATATATCAATATATTTATTTCTGTCCTTCACTCTTCTTATATTTCTCAGCTAATGACCTGGGGGTGTTTCACAAAGATTCTACGTTGAACTTAACTCTAAGTTAGACTTTAAAATTATGGAGAGCCATTTGTAGCCTTAAAATAAAATATATTCAAGCAAAAATTCAAATATTTTAGACTTTTCATAAATTCCACATCAAGAACATGAAATCTCTTTTTACAAAATATTTCAAAGATGCTAACAGCTTTCCATAATTGTTAAGTCCAACGTAGAGATAAGTTCAACTTAGGATCTTTGTGAAACACCCCCCAGCTCTGACAGAGCAACCATTTTCTCTATTCACAAGCACTGCTCCTCCAATTAATTAGGACCTAAATTAATTAGGACCAACATAATACAAGCTTTGCTTTTTAACTTTATTTAGCTTTTTCAATGTGATTAATATACTTATTGTATTTTTTGTTATAAGTATTACCATGTACATTATTTATGCTCCTTTATTGTATGATTAGCTATAATTATTATTATGCATATTATGCTCAATCATGGTATTTTTGATAAATTGGAAAGAAAACAAAATTGAAGAATAAAGAAGATGGTTTGAAGATGGGTTTGCAGTGAAGGTACTCACATCACAGGTACACGTGGTACAGGCATCCGGTTTCCACAGAGAGCCAGATCGGTGGGTGATCGTACCGTTTACACAATCTGGAAAATTGAAAATAATAGGTAAAAGTTAGGCAAGGCTAAATTGTGCTTCTCCAATATTGTAACAAAAAGCCATGTATGCATAGGAAGAAATCAATGTTTCAGTAAGTTACATGTAGTTTAGTGACATGAAGTAGCAAGTAAAACCTCAACTGTTCTATTAAAGGTGAAGTTTAGCACGTGTTATCAGCGTCTGTGGATATGGTGTAATATTGAAGCCCTACAAAAATTGTGCTTCAAAATGATCATGAAGTGCCTCAAAAAGTAAAAATCTTTGAGTGACAGGTTTGACCATACTCATTTGTCCCAAGAAACTGTAGTGTTATAAAAACTGTTGGGAAAACGGTTTATGACAATTTTGAATTCAAATCATGAAAATCTTGATAATCAGACAGGCGATCGGCTTTTAAAAGTCATGGGAATCCTGACTGATCCATAGGTTTATAATTATCATTGCAGCATGACCTAAATCAAGGATTTTGTTTAGAATCTGAGGCAAAGATACCCAATCGCTTCAAACCCTATATGCCTTTCTGTATGTGCCACAAGGTCCTAATATTGGACCTATGGTATTCTCAAATACAAGGGTAAATAATAATAAATACCATTGATTTCCAGTCCGCAGTCCACAGGGTTTCCATCCCGATACCATGTGGCCCGGCATTCATTGCAGAAGTCAAGGAAGCAGACAGCATTCTCAAATCCACCACACCCTATATCACATGGGTTGAGGGTGCAAACCACTGGTTCACCATCACATGGGCAGTTGGAGATCAGTGGTTCAACGTCCATGCAGAATCTACGTATGTACATATAAAAGGAAAAAAGGAGAATGGTTGTACATGCTTCAATGTGGGGGGCCTCCCAGGCCCCCCCCCCACCCCCCAGTCAGTGAGGTGCTCAAAATAGCCCAGTACAGTAAGGGTTAACACCACTCCCTGTTGTTTCACTCCTCTCACTTCCAACAAATTCTTCAGACTGTCCATCCAAAGTATCCTCCTTCTTCCCCTACTCCTCCTTCCCACAATTTTCCCTGTCAAAGTAAAACTTTTGGCTTTACCTCCTTGAATTTGTTGACAACGGGAAGTGGCTGATGCCCAGGACACTGTTCTTACTCGGAAGATCCTTGGGCGATGTCAGCCAGGTCTGTTCATACCACAGCACCGGCTCCTGCGCCGGGAGGGGGCAGGTCCGGGGGATCGATCTCAAGAAATCCACGTTCTGTTTGAAGAGTAGCTCGTCGAGGTGGTAGGTGAGGTAGAGAGCGTGAGGGCCGGTGTAGGTGTAGTTGCAGTAGGAGGCGTCCAGGTAGTTGGAGTTGAAGCCAAACCTGTCGTAACCCTCCCGGTTGACTCCGCTTCGGTCCAAGCAGCGGAAGTTGTATCCTGGAAGAATATTTCAAATATAAACATACCATACATATGAATCTTTGTACTTCAAACAGAATATGATACAAACTCCTTTTAACATCATGAAAGCTACAATATTTTGCTTGTAATTGAATTCTGATAAAGGTTCATTTTTCAGAAAGCAATTAACTCATAGCTCTTTGTAACATCTTTTACATGATGAAGACAAATATTTTGCAGTGAGATTCAATGTACAGGAAAGTTTAACACTTAAATGGATAACCATCATATTTCAAACTTATTCTGCAAGATAATAATGCATGTAAAATTATGAAATGTAAGATAATGCGTATAATTTTTAATCTAGAGTTATTGTGTATCACAAAAATTTACATTCAGTCGTATACTGTAAATTTGTCAAATTGTTATCATCTTCTTCACGACCATCATCATCATCACCATCATCATCACTAGAAGCAGATCCAGAGGGAGTGTTGGGGGAGCATGCCTCCCCCCCCCCCCCTTTTTTTTTTCCTTCCCCTAAAAATGCAGGAAAAAAGCTTAGAAATAATCAAATATATGTTCAATTGGCATATTCAGAAATGCCTCAAAAGAACACTCAAAAGTTTCCCAGTTCCCACGCTGTAATGGCTTCATGCTTCGCGCTCGCAATTTTGAACATTTCACGCCTACCACCCCCCCCCCCCCTTGAAAAATCCTGGATCTTCCCCTGTTCACCACCATCATCACCATCACCATAATCAGTAGAGATGGAGTTTACTCTTCGATGCTACTCCCTCTTTTCCATCACTATTAAGAATGAAGTCAACCTACGGTAAAGCATCACCTCCAAAAACAAAATCAGAGAAAAGAATAAGCAAGTGTTACCTTGATTGTTGTAGTAGTCTGATGTATCTGAGACCCCACTTCGATGGTAGCCAAACGGGTTGAATCCACGCTCATCGTATCCAGTGCGATCAAAGCCATAGCGATTGAATCCCCTTCTGTCATATCCGCTAACATCAAATCCATCTCTGTTAATACCTATAATGTGAGGATGTAAGTAAGTAATAAGTGACCATCCAAGTTGATATCCTGATGTAAGGCATGTCATTGTCTACAAGTTCATGTAATTGTAAGAGGACTTTTTTCAGATCAATATTTGAAAAGTAATAGTACACAGCAGCTCTGGGTGAGTTTGTTATAAGAACTTTTAAAATATATTATCCCTGACATTTTCCTTTAGGATATTTTTTTCTGTTTGAAATACTAGTTATCGCCATCTATGACTTCTTTTAGACTACTGCACGTAAATGAATTGACTCGATTAACGGTCAGCACGCGCTAGCGTTCGCGAAACCGACCCAAAGTTCTCCTCATGCTTCGCTTTTGTGTGCACACACATGAATACTGCGGTCCACGATTGGCCCCGATTTGGCGACAGGAAAGACACGTAGTCACGTCATGCACACCCTCCTTAAAGTAATAGTACATTTAATTTGTAGTTCTTATAGCAAAATATAGTGGCAACTTAAAGGGATCTGGTAACTTTGTCTCAGATTCTTAAACAAAATTCTGGATTTAGCTCATGTTGCAATGATAATTATAAAGCTTGAGGTCAGTCAGGAGCCCTATGACTTTCACAAGCCGATCGCCTGTCTGATGATCAAGATATTTATGATTGGAATTACAAATTTTTCATAACACTACAGTCTATTGGGGAAAACGAGTATGGTAAAACCGGTCACTCAAAGAATTTTACTTTTTCGAGGCATTTCTTGATCATTTTGAAGCGGGATTTGTTTTGGGCTTCAATATTACACCATATCACAGACACTGATAACACGTAGGGCCGTGTATCTCAGATTTAACATTGTTAAACGATCCCTTTACGATCTACCCAGTATGCAAAAAGCACAGTTTTTGAAAACCATAAACAAAGTCATACAATCGGTAAATATGACGAAGCACACATCTATGAAACTTAAAACTTACTGTAAATTACTGTAGACTTTAAGTCAAAGAATAATCTGACACATCACTCCTATCCACAACTAAATCGACAATTTTAAACATAATACAAAAAATAATAATTTGGGAAAACTGCATATCATATCAAAATATAGAGCTAACTTCTAAGGCATTTTAGTCATATGCTTCAAAACTCTGAAGTCGATTAAACTTGTACATGAATTTTGAGGATTACTTCTTTTTAGGACACAATCCAATTGCTTGGTGCTTTTGCTTGGCTCACTAAGACATACATGTAAAGCTTTGTGGACACAGTTACCAAATAAACAAACAAAGTACCAGTAGCCGGTAGGATGCGGCCGTCATTGTTGGTCAAACAAACTTTTACAATCTTCATTATTAAAGCTGAATCAACTCAATTCTCGTTCATCTGCTTACTTTTTTTTTGTCATGAATTGAACTCTCTTTTTTCTCGTTATCCTTTCCCTCTCCCTCTCTTCCACTTTTCACTCTTTATTTCTTCTTTCTTCTCGATTCACTGACAAACTGATTATCACCATTTTATAACTTACAATCTTTTTTTTTTTCTTTTCCTTCATACTTTAAGTTATTACTGAATTTTTAATTCAACTGTTTTTAATGCATTTTTATATAATACAATGTGAGCAATGTACTTTAACTTATTACTGAATTTTTAAATCTACTGTTTTTAATGCATTTTTATATGATACATTGTAAGCCAATTATTGTTAGTCTTTGGACTTTTATTTGTAATAAAACCGAAATTGATTTTTTTTAAATTTTATAAACAGTTTTTGAACATCAAGTAAAGCCTGGCTGGAATTCTCCAAAGGGAGTGGAGATTGTGCGTATATACCTGTAAGCGGAATAATATTAGTATTATTATAATGAAAATCATAAGGGGTGTACCTTCTACGTTGAATCCAAATCTGTTGTAGCCTCTCCTGTCGTATCCTCTCCTATCGTATCCTTCAAAGTCATACATATTATAGATGTAGATCTCTCTAGGATCGGCCTGACCAAAGCGGTTACGCCCACTGATGTCATATCCAAATCTAAAAGAGAGAAGAGAAAAGAGAGAGTCATGACGGTCTAGTAACAATGTTTCTATCTGTCTCATGTGAAACAAACGGGTTTCATCATTCAATGGAAAATTGAAACTTAAAGCCCCTCTGCACTAGTTTGGCCAGGAGGGATTAGACCTGCCTGCATGGTCACTGACAGGTGTTTATCTCCTCAACTCAGCTCTCAATTAACATAGGAAAAAGGGGACCATGGGGGATCAAAGGTCACCGCTTAGGCAATGTTTGCTATATAGAGGGAAAAGTAGCTACCGGTACAAGTAGTTCAGACAGGCTTTAAAGGTATATGTTTGTGGGATGAGATATGAAATCTGTCTCAAAAATGTTGCTTGGCAAGATTGGCCATAGCAACAAAGAAAGGGTGACGAGCCGAAAGACACATATTGAGATACATATACATTACAGCAATATGTTCCTATTTTCACGAAGTGACGGTAGTAAGGAAAATCTGCACGCAAATTGTATGCGATTTTCATTCACTGCCGTCACTTCGTGAAAATAGGGACGAATACTGACTTTATCTATTTCATTAACACACTACATGTACCAGAGTGTTGGCTCAGTCAGTAGAGCGTCCGCCTCACAACCGGGAGGTCGTGGGTTCGAACCCCAGCCGCGTCATACCAAAAGACGTTAAAAGATGGGAGTTATTGCTACCTTGTTTGGCGTTCAACAATAAGGGATAGAGCAACGTCGATCTGGCGCTGCTCACGATCAATTGGGCAAAAAGAATTTCCGTTTCGCTTTAATAAAATTTGGAGTGGACTATTAGGCTATTATCATTATTATTATTATTATTATTATTTCGATTCAAATCAAAGCAGAAAAATGAGTACTGCATTTGCTGAGCTTCCAAATTTGATGTTAAATCATTTTACCATATATTTTAGCATATATAACTTTCAATACCATATGAATTTTAAGTGGTAAATTTTAAAAGATGAATTTTCATAATATTGATTTCCGGAGAATCATCAGTCATCATCAATTTCCTAACATTAAGAGGTTTTGGGGTCGAGTGGTTTAAATACTTGATTGTAGAAACAAAAGTTTGCTGGTTTGAACCTGTGGCATGTGGTACTAGTGTCCTTTGGCAAGATATTAAATTGAATATGTCACTCTCCACCAACGTGTTAAATGGGTTAGGTAGGAAGGAATTCCTTGAATGCTGCAAGCACCAAAATCGTAGCCTAGCACTGCTGAGGTTATTAGGAGCCCCTTGAGCATGTTGCATGGTGGACCATATCCGGACACCTACCCCCTGGACATCCACCCCCTAGGGCAACCACCCTCTAGGACGACTATCCCTGGGACAACTAACCCCTAGGATAGTTGTAGTTGTCCTAGGGGGTAGTTGACTGGGGTGGTTATCCAGGGGGTAGATGTCCAGGGGGTAGGTGTCCTAGAACCATGGTGGATATCAGTAAAAAGTTATATACAATATTCTTATCATTATCATTATTATTATAATTATTATTGGTCTTAGTGTCATAAAAATAGCTTTGTAGATGGAGTTACCTGTCAAAACCAAATCTGTCAAATCCATTCCTGTCAAAGCCCTCGGCATCGTACCCCTGGTCATCGAACAGCAAGCCTGTGTTGTTGCAAGGATGTCCGAAGCCCTGGAGGGCATAGGTCACACAGAGCTGTGCTTCTGAACTGATGACATCCATCGGCCGCATACCGAAGGGAACCATCGGGACCTCTCGAGCCTGCACAGGGTAGCCGTTGGTGTTCCCATTCATCTGCTGCCAGCGCCAGAAAAGCATGTCGAGGTAAGACTGGAGAGCGAAGAAGATGGGGTCGTACGGAGCCGCGGAGGATGCGATGTGGCCTCCGATGTAGCTGTAGACGTGTCCGATGATGGCTTGGAGGCAGGCCTCGAAGGTGGCAAAGTCAGGGCTGGACATGGCCTGGGCGACGTCGATCTTGGACGGAAGGTGGGCATTGGATTGGAACTGCCTGGCAAGGCAGGGCTCCCACTGGCCCCGAGAGCGGAAGGGATGGTCTGGCACGCAGCTCCCTGGCCCGACACCATCACCACCAAAGTAATTGGGTTGCCATACCATAGCATGAGACAGATTACCCACATCTGTTGTAAAGTCGTAGTAAGGGAGAGCAACTCTGCAGTCGATTTCCTGAAAAATGTCAGATCAAAAGGATTTCTTTATGGCACTTGTCTACTTTTCTCTAAATTCCTCTTGATCCATCTGTCTCTTTCTCCAAAATCATCTTTAAAGATAAAGACCAGTTATGGTCATGTGATTGCATTGTGAAAGAAACGATGCGGAATCTATCAGAAAAAGTTGACCATCTAGCATATAAGTATTGGTGTGTACTGCAAGGTTCTGGAATCATCAAAATGATAAGAAATTTGGCCCAGTCTTTGTAAAGTTACAAGCACTGTACACAGAAAGATGTATATGGGACTACGCGACATGTGCGGTACACGTGTGCTTATCTATCAGGTCCAAATAGATATAATAATTTACCAAATATATCAATATTAGTCAAAACATATTCTTTCACATGATTGGTAATAAGAGCTTCTATTTCATTTTTCGAGAGGGGGACGTTACCAAAACTGGTCTTTACCTTTAAGGGATGCTTGAACTAGGAACCATCCTACCTGTACCTAAGTAACACAGTCTCCTTTGCCTTGTGATCAATCGATTGAATAAGTTGAGCCCCAGAATGGTTCTAGATACCTGAACCTCTTCTGTGCTGCAACGGCAAAATTATCCACAGTATGTGAAATCTGAACAACTTATGTGGATCAAGGAGGACTACAGCATATACTTAGTTGAAGTCTTGAACATTCTTTGTAATCTTTACAAGATTATGTTGCTATCAAAAGATGGAGAGCCATGACCACCATTGTGCGGAACAAATTAACAGGGCACCTACATGTATAATCATAATAATAAAAACGGTGCTTATAAAGCGCTTACCACCGAAGTCTCTAAGCGCTATAACAAACAAAATACAAAGATAAACAATTACATATTAAACAAAACAAAAAGAAAATGAAAATAAACCTACAAATTACCATAATTAAGCATCTAACAAAAACCCAAGATGACCTTTAACCTTTCTTCATTGACCCTTGACTCACCTGCAGCATACGTTCCACCTCCCGGAGGAAGGTCCTGTGCCAGACCAGGAAAGAAGCCTGACTGTGGGCCTCCATCACATGCTTCATGTAGAGGTCCCTCATGTGGGCCCAGCGGGACTCTGGTCCAGAGGACTGGAGCTGACGGATGGCAGATTGGAACAGGTCCATCTCTAACCGGGTCATATCACGGATCTCCTTCCTCGTTGTCAAGTTCTCACACCTGATTGAAAGATAGGATCCCCAAATTATGATTCCAGGGGGGTGTTTCACAAAGATCCTATTAAGTAGAACTTATCTTTTAGTTGGACTGAACTATTATGGAAAGCCGTTAGCATCCTTGAAAATATTTTGTTAAAGTTATTTTAAAAGGCATAAAATGTTGATTCAAATCATTCATATTTTATATTATCATGGGAGATTTCATGTTCTTGATGTGGAATTTTTGCAAAGTCTTAAATACTTGAAATTTTGCATTTGAATATATTTCATTATAAGGCTACAAATGGCTCTCCATAATATTTAAGTCCAACTTAGAGTTAAGTTTGACTTAGAATCTTTGTGAAACACACCCTAGGACAACTATATGTACCCTCTGGAGGACATGTAATCTCTCCCAAACATCTTTCTGCTGGCAAAAAAACCCAGGACAATGCCCTCCCCCACCCTTGAAGAAAACTAGTCACCAAGACCCCTCCCCCCCTGAAAGTAACCCCTGTATAAATAACACCTACATCATTTGACAGAGTTGAATAGTTGTCTTGCCCGTAGATGTCCAGGGGTAATCGCCCTAGTAGTAGTTGTCTTGGAGTAGATGTCCAAGGGATAGTTGTCCAGGGGGGCATCGTGCTGACATTTATTGTCCTAGTATGGTAATTGTTTTGAAGGTAGTTCTCTAAGGGGTCATGCCTGCATTCTGGGGGTCGTAGCCCAATGAAACATTGTTTGATCCTCAGAAACACTTTGCCCGGGATAATATCACACTAAGTATTGAATAGGCATACATCAAGAGAAAATGGTTGATCCCTAATCCAAGATGTTGGTACTATTGCCATCATAAAATTAAGAGTAAACATAAAATCAGTTAATGTATACGCCCAAAAGACAATTTACCACATCAATTCTCATGGCTCACTAAAACTAACTTGCCAGAATGTGTTGAGGGCTTATTACCTGCACTGTACCCGGCCTCCTGTGAGACACTGGCAGGACTGAAACAAACTTACCAGAATGTGTCGAGGGTTTATTACCTGCACTGTACCCGGCCTCCAGTAAGACACTGGCAGGACTGGCAGCCACTCCTGAAGTTCTCCCCAGCATATGCTGCATATTCCCCTGCAACCATGCACCTATCTCCAGGAATGTCACAGGTCACATTGGCGCACGACATTCCTGGATGGAAGGCGGTGACCTCTAACCTTTGCTCCCTAGAGTTCAAGGGTTGGGCCGCTGTGGTCTGGTCACGGCAGTTACTCATTGTTGTTTCCTGTAGAAGGAAATAGAAATAGGTTCAAATAATGGCCATGTGGTTTCCTATCAAATAATTAAATCTAATGCCATACACAGTCTCTCCTGCATGCCACACTTTGTGTTTTAATGTAGAACGTATACAGTTTAATGATGGCTTTAGTTGATGGCTACAGGAACGTGGTTTCTTTTTCAATAAAACAAAATTAAACTAAATGCAAATGTACATACAAATCATTAAACAAATAATCTACATTTAATATAACTGAAATATCTCTTTTGGTAGTGTTTTCAAAACAAGAAGAAGATTAGAATGTACTTTCTTTAATATTGTGCTACTACTATATTTTTTGAGTCTAGAAAATAAATGAAAAAAACTTAACATTTAAAATTCATTAGTTCGAAGCCAGTTTCCACTTTTTTTACCCGGTGGGAGGTTCCTAATAATATACCTCTTTAATATTCGATTGGATTCATGGAACTTTAGGTTTTTAGGTCTGTTTTAAGGGACAATCCATCTTTAACAAGACATTAGACACTGTAAACTCACCATACATGTGAATCCTGTTGGAGTCATAGCGCCACCGCCTTGGTTCTCAAGGCTGCGTCGACAGCAGGCTCCCATCATGCATTGCTCCTGGCAATCCCTCTCGGATCTAAAGTTGTTGTTATTCCCATCACATCCTACAAAATAAAGTGTAGAAAAAGATATAGGTGGGATATTATTTACCTCTTTTTTTAAAGGTGAAGATGATTTACATGTAGAAGTTAAGAGCAAAAATACTGTAAGCATTAAGTTGAAAAGCATTTTGTTCATTATCTGTTGGACCCTGTGATGAAAGCTAAAAATTAAAGTTAATTAAATAAATGCTAGATGAAAGTGGCATGTATTGTTCAATCCTTTCTAGACATTTCGTTTCCTAAAGCATCTCCAGAAGTTCTCCTTTAAAGTTTAATTAATGCAAAGGAACATGTATCACAGATACCAATTGTATTTTATACATTTTCAGGTTCCAGATGGGTAAAAATACAAAAGAAACTTCCCCTGTATAACTGTCAACTTACAGTATTTTTGTTTCAAGATAAAGTTGAGTTCTTGTCATGCGATTGCATTGTGAAAGAAACGTTGTGGAATAGATCAGAAAAGGTTGATCATCTAGCATAAGTATTGGTGTGAACTGCAAGGTTCTGGAATCATCAAAATGATGAGAAATTTGACTAAGTCTTGGTAAAGTAATAAGCACTGTACACATAAAGATGTATAAGGGACTACACGAACATGTGGCATATTTTTATGATGTTGCATGACGTATTTAAAATATTCAGGCATTTGAAGAGCCATGCTTTTCAGGGAACATTTATTATCTGATGTTCTTCCACATTTGCATAATAACAATGATAACGCTCACAAATTATGTTTCACCTCTTCCAGAACTCAACCTTCTCTTTAAACTCTATTAATGATATCAGTACCTGTATATTCAAACTGTTCACATCGCATGCTGTTGTAGTTATAGAAGTATCTGATCAGGCCCACAGCATCGCAGTTACCATATGCCAGAGGCAAGGCACACACGTTAATCTTGTGCTCGCACCGCTGTCCCGTGCAGGTCGGAGGGCAGATGCAGACGAAAGTTCCGACCGAGGGAAGGGTTTGACAGGTGCCTCCATTTTGACAGGGGTTGATGGCACAGGGTTCGCGACACTGCTGGCGCTCCATGTCAACTCGGCAAACAGATTCTCCATTCTGTTGAATAAATGGTAGACAGATCAGACTCAAAATATATATAATATTGGCATCTCATCATTCCGAGGCGCGACAATATCAGCATAAAACTATGTGCTTGCATCCTTGCTTGCATCCTTGCTTGCATCCTTGCTTGCAGGCCTTATGTTCGTAATGCAATGCTGTGGCCTCCCGTCCTGCGCGTTCCTTCTCTCCTGCACATATATTGCACACATTGCACAAAGCAAGCACATAATCCTCGTACGTACCGCTACGGTACTCGGCCAGCTGTATGTGGTGCGATGGGCTGCCTAAACTTTGTGTATACTTTAAAGATAAAGTTGAGTTCCAGTAATGCGATTGCATTGTGAAAGAAAAGGTGTGGAATGGATCAGAAAAAGTTGATCATGTAGCATGCAAGTAGTCATCAAAGTCATAATAAATTTGACCCAGTCTTGGTAAAGAAACAAGCACTGTACACAGAAAGATGTATATGGGACTACACAAATGGTGTCGGGGCTGCTAACCTTGATTTCCTTATCTATCTATGCTCATTACTCGAACATATCTGTACGCTAAAATATAAGCTCATACAGTATTGCATTCTTCTAATCCTACAGACTTTAGTACAAGAGCCACCTAGGAAAATAAGGGCTGATTGCTTTACCTGGCAGTTGCATGCTGTACATGGATCAGGAAACCATGAATCACCATCCCTGTACTGCTGGCCTTCATGAAAGCAAGGAGAGAGGTTACCGGTGTCAGGGCTCCTACAATCGCACCTCTCCCGCTCAATCAATCTCTGGTCCAGAAATGACACCTGTAATGAGGGAAACGAGGGGAAAAATTCATACAATGATAAAACAAAAAATGAATACGACCATTAGATGAACTACCGGTAACATTCTTGATATCGTTGGTCATGTAAGGGACAGGGTAGCTTTAACTTACTTATGTACCACCATTTAAAGCCCCTCTGCACTACTTAATCTACTTGCGCCCTCTATATAGCAAACAATGCCTAATCGGTGCCTGTTGGTTCCCCATGATCCCCCTTTCCGTATGTTAATTGAGAGCTGATTTGATGAGATTACCACCTGTCAGTGACCTTGCAGGGAGGTCTAATCCCGTGGCCAAACTAGTATAGATGGGCTTTAATAATCTCATCAGTCAAACTTTCATAACTTTCCCATGATTTGTGCAACTTCTCTCTAATTCCCACCAACTTATTTATATCTAACCTCTCTTTCATACCAGGATCAGACTTTCCCCCTGTCCACACACAACATTTTCCGTGACTAATCATGATTAGCTATACCGTTTCGCGATAGTGATACCGTTTCGCGATATTTTTACGACCAAAATTGTAGGTGTGGACGCTCACTAACGATACGTCGTATAACGAAACTAGTCTAACGAAACGCAGGTTTGGGCATCGTTTCGAACTGAAACTCGATAAAGAATCACGCCTAATCACGGAAAATGTTGTGTGTGGACAGGGGGAGTGTAACTAGTGTAACTAACTGGGCGGGGCTTAACGTGACCTCGAGCGAAATGAGACCAGACCTCTTATCACTATCGCGAAACTCTATAAAGAATCACGGAAAATGTTGTGTGTGGACAGGGGGCATTTTATACAATGATTCTTTAGTGACGACGTTTCTTGTGTGTGGACATCCTGGAATTTATACGATGATTCTTTATACGACGTATCGTTATAGAGTTTCGGGATAAATTGTTTTGTGTGTGGACACGCTGTAACTTTGATTAAAGTGGAAATTTTGCACTGCTGTAGTATCAAAGTATAGAAACCTCAGCCATTTCCCACTCCCACTCCTGACAAAAACCCCAGGGTTTAAAAATGATGATTATTCTTAGAAATCATTTCCCAACCATAAGACCACGCCTCAGGAAAACACACTTAATCAATCTAAATACAATCATTGCCATTGATACCTGAGGATTGAAGAAAAAAATGTAGTATTTGATCATTCATTTCTAGACAGGTGTAGCAAATAACCTTGCTGGGAATACTTTAAGCACCTCGCTTTCAATCTAAAGAAATCTACAAGATATTTCCTGAATTCTGTGCGCAGGATACTATTCTTGAAGCCCCTGGAAATTTGCAGGAGATCATTTAAAGGACAGATGAGATCCCCTGACAGGTTTGTAAGGTCTTATAGCTTTAAGCTGTTCCAATCAACTCAAGGAAGTTATCAATTATAGTTTTTGTTTACTCACAGTTACACATGCATTGTTCAAGTCCAGGTACCTACATGTATAGAGTGGTGAAGTGTGACGTCATCAAAAATCAATTTTTAGAATTTCTCAATTTTTTCTTCATATTCCGAAAGAACATCAAAAATAATGTCCAAATGTCGAGAACCAATTGAATATGTTAAGTATTGGCTGAGATATGACCATCTGAATGAATATATGTCCTATGGGAACTCAGTGTTATATGCTCTGGCTCCTTTAGGATATAACACTGAGTTCCTATGGGGAGTATATTTATTCAGATGGTCATATCTCAGCCAATACTTAACATATTTAATTGGTTCTCGACATTTGGACATTATTTTTGATGTTCTTTCGGAATATGAAGAAAAAAAATTGAGAAATTCTAAAAATAGATTTTTATGACGTCACAGCTTCGGTACTCTATATGCAAATCTGATTATAAAGGTATGGGCATCTAGTGAATGAAAGTGTGAGTGGGTGGTGCTTTACAGCAATGAAATTGGTTATTTGATTACTATAAAACTCTCAAATCAATATAATACTAATGATAATGATAATTACTTTGTTTTACCAGAGAAGCATCATCACCATCAATGCTATTCTACCTAAAGGCCCTACAATTATTATTAACCCCAGCAATTGCAATTGCAAGGTACCCATTAATATTTACATGTAGGTGGAGAGTGGCAAATGTGGATGTGCGTCTTGTCATGAGACCTTAGTGTTGGGCTGGGATTTGAACCCCAAACTCTTGCTTGGATTGAGAGTCAAGTGAATACACCACTATACCAATAGTCCACTCTTTGACTACATGAATGTATTCACCGCTTCACAATAAACAGTATTACATGGGAACAGCATTTTATTTGTATTTGTATTTGTTTATTCTTTTTATGTTATGTTGTGAATATAAACATATATATATATATTTCCTTTTTGGGGAGGGGAGGGGGGGTAGTTTTTACAAGTAGGTCTGGGATAATATTCACAGATTGGGGAGGGGGCATAAGTTTCAACAATTCTAAGAAGGACACAAATAGCATGGATGGGGGCAGGATTGAGGGGAGAGGGGAAGAGGGAGAAAGAGGGGTATTGAGTACAAATCTGTGCACACTCTGCTACAGGTATGTATCAAAGGTATACTAGATTTTCTGATTTGGTATGGTCGAGGGAAAAATAACTATGCCCCAAAAGTACCTACCCCCCCCCCCTTGGGAACCACTAGTTGTGTTATCTTTTTGTTCTCATCATCTAAATTCGAGTCTCATCATTAACAAAATTATTGATATTCCCTCTCTACTGACCTGTGCTTTAAGCATGTCCACCATAATGGTCATGCCTCTGATCGATGCCTCCAAACGTTGGATACGGTCAGACTCTCCTTGCGTCAGAGCTGCGGCCGCTGCAGGACCGTCGTTCTGCTGAGGCTCTGAAAGAGAACGAAAAAGACTTCAATACCTGTACCTCACTCACGCTGCCTAATTAACTCAGAACCAACCCAGTTTGTCTTTAGTCTGGGCCAGTCTCGTCAGTGTGACGGTCTCTGGTATTAGGTTATACTTATCATGCCAATCAACACATTGCAGTATCTACATTTTTTAGAGCTCCACAGTTCCTAACAAAATACATCGGAGCAGTGACAGATTCGGTAAGCTCCAAACGAGCTCTTAATTACTATCAAAAAGTGCTCTGAAGAACGTTTGAGGGGCTCTAGGCCTGCATACAGTCAAACCTGCTTTAGTGACCACCTGTCTACAAAGGCCACATTTGTTGTTTCCCTTGAAAATGGTTTCTCATTGAATCATGTACTAACGGAACCTAGCTGTCTACAAAGACCACCTGTCTTCAAAGGCCACTTTTTATGTTTCCCTTTAGCGGTCGCTATAGACAGGTTTGACAGTGTACAGAGTTGCAATTAATCCAAATCATTCGCAAACCCGATAAATCGAATAAAAGCTCCTCTGGAAAAAAAAAATCTTCAGTTTGCCGAAGGATTTCTTCATTGTCCGCATGCATGCTGTGAGTCAATGTACTGTGTAAATATAATTGTATATCTTTATTCAAAAAATGTAAAAAGCCGGTTTTAATCTCTCAGCAAATATTGATATATCAGTGTGCTCTCAAGCTAATAACAAAATGAATCAATTATCAAAGAGCATTAAAAGTTCAAAATGATGATCTCCCTCTAGACAAACTTTTTTGAAGCAATTGAAAAGCTTTGAGGCAATCTACTGTATCAGCTTTTGAAGTAGTCTAAAGCAAATAGAACATGTAAATGCACCATTACAGTGCAAGAAATGTTTTAAAAGACAACTTTTTTACTTGGGTTTTACAGGTAATTAAAGCACAGTCTCATAAAGGTTATTCGTCATAGATTGGCATGATTTTCATTTCATGGATGGATCTACCGCTGAGGGAAGATTATCCATTGAAAGGTCATTCTCAAACACCTGTTCTATCAAATCACACAGTCATATCGCCTGTTTGGAGCCAGAAGGGTGTTAACTCATATACTTTAACACAGAGTTAATGCCCTTCTGGCTCTGAACAGATGATATGTAGCCTACACTGTACAAGCAGATGTACAGGTGTTCAGGTATAGGCAATACAGGTGTCTGACTTGATGTTCTGATGTCGGAGGCATGAATCATATTTTCAAATTTAATTTCTATCACTCGATGTGAACATGGCAGTCATAAAATTGTTTTTTTTAACTGCATTCATCAATGTACTTGAACTTCATGTAGTGCAATGTAAATATACAGTGTAGATGTTTTTATACCGTTCTCTGATTCCAACTACCATGAGCATTTTGTTTGTATGTTTTTCTATAGGTTTTTTCTGCATGTCTGTTTTGTTTTGTTGGTCCAAACTTTTCAGTTATGACAAATCATTTTCACATGACACTTTTTCTATGGTTGCCTTCCAAATTGGCATTAAAAGAATTAAAAAGCTTGCAAATTATTTGTCACCTTTCCCAGAACACAACCTTCTCTTGAAGCAAGAGTAACTTCTTGCTTCAAGTAAATGTAGCCAGGCTAGGGATAAAGCAAATCAACTTCTTTTTTCTTTTTTTTCTCTCTTTCTCTCTCTCTCTCCCTCTCTCTGTCTCTGTCTCTCTCTCTCTCTCTCTCTCTCTCACTCTCTCTCTCTCTCCCTCTCTTCTGAATGTGTTTTGTCAAGTGGTTATTAACAGCCTAATAGCAAGCAATAAAAAACATCAAATTAGCTGCAATAAAAACATCAAATTAGCTGGCAAGAAAAACATGGACAAGTTTTTAGGTGGGTCAGGATCTGAACTCCTACAATGGATGCTCTGTTAAGATTTCAAAATAACCACTTTCTCCAAGAAGTTTGGTGTTTACTCAAAGAAGTTGATTTTTAAAGAAAATAATGCCCAAGGGTATGACAACTTCTTTTTCCAAGACTGTGCACTACATGAACTTGTACTTAAGCTTAAAGGAAAATCCAACCTAAAAACATCAGAGAAGCAGACTTGTGAAAGTGTTTGTTTCAACACAAAACACCTAAAATATCAATTTTGTTATTGAAAAATGTATAATTAATCATGATTTAACAGCCTTTTGGCACTCCTAAAAAAACTTGACATACAAATGTACACGAAACACATGTGTATATTAGGTATCTTAGCAGAATAAAGAGTAATAGAGCCACAACATTGGGGTGTGCAGCTGGTATATATAGGTTAGAATTTATTTTACCTAGACTTTCAATGAGATATATGTAAAAGTAGAATTTTCAATTAATGAACATCACAAGCTATACCTCTTGCATTCTCAATGCATCTTTTTGTGCCACTATATTTCACTAAGCTACAGTCAAACCTGTCTATAGCATCTGCCCAAGGGAAACACAAAAAGTGGTCTTTGTAGACAGGTTCATTAGTACATATTTCGATGAGAAACCATTTTCAAGAAAAACACAAAAAGTGGTCTTTGTAGACAGGTTCAAGTTCATTTATTTCCATTTCTCGTATAAAAATACATTTAATAATACATTATACATATAAGCAAATATATGGAGGAGCCAGCAGAGGCCATTGGCCTTTCAAAGGCTGGGCTCCAGTGTCCTCAGATAATAATACAAAGTACAGAGAAAAAAAAGAAAAAAAACAATGGGTAGTAAGTAAATAAGGTTCATTAGTACATGTTTCAATGAGATACCATTTTCAAGGAAACAAAAAATGTGGTCCAAGTAGACAAGTGGTTACTAAAGCAGGTATGACTGTATATACGCATGACTCCTTACCTATGACTAGCGTTTCTCTACTCCTTAATTCAGCAAGCTGGGGCTGGTCATTCAAAAAGACGTCCCCATTCCCGGCAGCAACTAACAAGAAAAACATAAAATATATAATTAAGATATAACAATCACTTATGAATATTATGTTATGTCTCATAGAGACCAAAACCATAAACATGTCATGTACAGGTCAATACAGATATAGTATGTTTGATATTAACCCTTGCACAATAATAATTGTAATAATAATAATAATGGCCACTTAAATATAATAGCCGAGCCAACAAAGCAGCTAGCGCTAATGTGTATCTAGTAAAGTACCTATCTACACCTGAGTGAAGAGTGGCAAATGAAGATTAATGTCTTGCCAAACGACATTACTAGTGCCGGGATGGGATTCAAACCCTGTAACTTGTGATCTACAGTTCAGTGACTCACCACTAAACCACAACATCTCAATTACAATCACATTGTAACACTGCAGTGAAAGCTAAATAGATTACATTACGAATGGTCCTATTCAAATAGGAACTTCAAGTATATATTTTGCTCAAAAAACTTGACAAATGTACTATAAGCGAGGCTGCAAGAGAGAGAAGGAGGGCAAAGTTTTAACCCATCAACATCCAACATGTATCAGAAGAATATGTTAACATGGTACCAACGTAGTTTTAAACTTTAAGTAGATGCTAAACCTCAAGTTATATGCAAAAATCCACTAACAGTGGAGAGAGTTCACACAGGACCGAAACAACAAGTAGTCAAAGTTTTCAAGAAGACAGGAAAGCATTCATTTTAACTTTGAGTAAACTGATGTTCTGTAATCACAAGTGTGTCTGTCCGCATGGTCCCTAACTACAAGATTACTTTGAAGTTTAAAACCGCATACAGGCTGTTACTGAACATCATGAGAGAGATTAAAAATGCAGAATGAAGGAGCTGCTTTGTTCAAGAAAATCTATTGCACATATTGCCACAGATACGGTGAAAGTGGTCCTAGCAATTTAATTCAGTCGCTTCACAGTTTCCATTTCATCCTCCTTACCGTAAATTGTTAAATTGCTGTATCTTCCATAATTTGTAAATAACACGAGCAAATACGACATAAATTTCAATGTAATACATGTTTTGTATGATCTCATGTGAAATATGTATTCTTAAAGGTAATACCCAGTTTTGGTACGGGGTCATAAATTTGGTTCAAATGAACATATTGGAAGCATATGCAATCCTACAATATTCAGTGATCGTTGTCACGGTTGAAATGGAGTCAAAGTTATTGAATTGTAAATAATAAACTCTTTATGTTGTAACTTGTATAGCTCCCTCTCAAGGTCAAGATATCAATTAAGCTGTAAAACAGTGGTTCTTGACTGAAATCGACCGATTAGCTACATGTATTCCCGTTTCTAAATTATATATCACAACTACATATTCTGAGATTTTCATGGTCGCAGCTACCATTGTTCGGCCGTAGGCGCTATTTGAAATTTATCAAAATTTACCGGGAGCACCAGTAAATTTTTATATTCAATTTTTCTTGAAAGCAGAAGTGTTTTAGGGGCTAAAGTTTCTAGTGCTTATAATACATCCACGGGGGCATCCAAATATATCAAAATTGTAAAGAATCACCATCCACCCAATTTTCAAAATTTCCCAAAACTTTGTATTACCTTTAAGACATTGTAAATATGCTCAATTCAGTCTTTGGCTGCGATGAATTGTACTTAATTAAGACCATTATTGAATTTAAATGCACCCTGCCCTATTTCCTTGCAGTTAGTGTAAGTCATGCCTTTGCCAAATGAGAAGGCTGAAATTAGACCATTACCCTATATATTACGTGCAGTAGGGTGGTTGTTTTTCCTTTTGTATGAAAAGGGTAAACCTGCCTACAGATATACATGTACCTCTATTCTCTGATATTCATGACTCTAAATATAAAGTCGAGCACTGTAAGTAAATTTATGGGAAAAGTTGATTTATAAGAACTGATATTCACTGTCAGGTTTTGGAATCATCAAACCAATAGGAATATGGTTCAGTCTTGGGGAAAGTCACATGCAATGCAAACAGAAATGGGTATATATATGAGACTACACACAAATTTTGTATGAAAGTTTGGTCCAAACACATCAGTTTTTCTTCATCACACTCTGAAAAAGAAGGCATTTAAACACCTATCCTCTTCAGTGGACATTTCTAAATGTACTATGGTCCTCTTCTAGAATGACATACGATGAGTTGAGAATTAAGCTTATAAGTTATTTTTAACCTTCCCCAAGACCCAATCTTGTCTTTAAGCCTACCTGTAGTCCCATCAATACAGGTGGGAGACATGTTACGCACATGGAATCACTTATGTTCTCACAGCTCACCTACATGGAATATCTTTAACTTCACTGAACAAAGACTTGTCTGTTCTGCTCCGAAAAATATTTAGACAGATGGAAAAGAGGAAGACAATTTTGCTACCAAGTACATGTAGGTTCAAACTGAGAGATTAACTGTCACTCCTATTGCCAAGTTGATTTCAAAGCAGGAAAAGGGGAAACAGTTGAGAGAAAGTTCAAGAAAACTGATAAAGAAAACAGAAATGTTTTTTTCTTCTATTTTCACCTTCTTCCTTTTGTTCTTCTTTTTATGTCAGTTAAGTGTATCTTTCTACCGTTCATATCAAATACTTTGGTGGGCTTCTAATTATCAAGCTTATGCTTACTTAAAAAGAACCAGCATTTGACTTCATTCTGGAAGAGTATTGCATCTGCTTTAATTACACAGTTACTTTTGAAGATTGTTGTATTTTATGTATGTGTTAATGCACCTTTTGATCTTTTGACATGCAAACAAAATAATAAGAACAAATAAATTTAAAGATTGCTTCTGATGGTAGCTACAATTTTAGCCTTATTCATACTGTTGTACGAACTTGTACCAAGTCATGTGAAATATTTTTTCCCCCCTGTTTAAACTTTTGAAAGCCAGAATGCCATTATAGACTCTACATGTATGTGCAAGTGTGTAAAAGTATTAAGTTACTTAACACCCTTCTGGCTCCAAAGTCCAAAAAGATAATTTATAATGACAATATGGGATCCATATTACGTCTGCTGAACAAATTGAATTTCATCTTAAACCTTCTAGTCGTTTTCTTACATTCTTTCTAAGCCAAATCAATAGACAATTAAACTACTTTTGCAACCATGTCAAACTTTTGAACAGCACCTTTAAATTCAAGTGAATTCTACAATCAAGTGTGCCTGTAAAGACTACGTGTAAAATAGTTTAAAGCCAAGGCTCTTTCTTTGGCAGAGGGTACTTTTAATCTATAATCAATCAAGTCTGAGATTCAAGACTACACATGTCAAAGTATTTGAAATCAAGGCTCTTTCTTCAATTCTTTGGTAGATACCACATTCTCTAATCGAGTCTGAGAGTCGAGACTACATATCAAATAGTTCTTTGATGTATATAATCAAATTCTCTAATCACATATGTCTGAGATTCAAGACTAAAAGTGTTTGCAGTCAAGGCTCTTTCTTTGGCTGGATACCTGTACTTTATAATAAATTTGAAAGTTCCCTAATCATGTCTGAGAGTCAATACAACATAAAAAGTATTGAAGCCACAGCTCTTTCTTTATGATTAAATTTCCTAATGAAGTCTGAGAGTCAAGACTACACATAAAAGTGTTTGAAGTCAAGGTTGTTTCTTTGGAGGATATATCACTGTCATCCAAACCAATGGCAGGAGTTACATCCTCACTGATTCAATCTGATCACCAGAAACAGATATGCCAACAGAGATTTATTCAATTCTGATTCTATTGTATTGCTGGTGATTATGATTAGAATTAACTATGGACCCGAGGTTACAAGAGGCATTAGCTCGAGATTGCCAAATAGCCCGCTATTTCTGATTTGGGAAATAATCCCGAAGTTACAAATCGCGTCTTCATCAGCTCGAGATTCGACCTCGAAAACTTGAAACTCGATCGTGAGAAATTAGCTCAAGATATTTTGCTATAAAGCGTTCATGCATAGTGCGAGTCTTCGGGCTGGTGAAAACGCACCGGACAAATAGCGGGATATTTTGCAAAGTATCCCAAGATATCTTGGAATGATTATCCTAAACAAATATCACGCTAATTGCAACTTCGGAATGATGAAGACAAAAACTAACTGGATAATTTGCAATCAGGATAGTTGAAATAGCTGGATATTTGGCAATCTCAAGCTGATGAAAACAGGCCTAAGGTGTACTGTACATATGGGGGTCTTTATGTAGGCCTATACAATTCAATATAACAGTACACTACATGTTGGCTTACACATCTTTGCAAAGTTTAAAGGACAAAAAATCAGAATAGCTTCATCTACTTGATGGTCGAGGTTGCAAAGGAGAGAAGAGCTGCTAAAATGTATTATTAGGAAGGGGAAAAAAGATAGAATTATGATATGCTAGCTCTCATAATGGGAAGAATTCTGGACACAAAAAAAATAATACCATCAAACTCAATCTTTTACCAACCTTTCTTTTTACATTTAATCGAAATCAATATACCACTGGCAGACTTTCCCTTCGTCTCTGAACGAAAGGTAACAAGTGGGTTGAATGAGGGTCAGCAAAACAAGGTAGAAAATGGTGGAATATATTGGTGGAATATATTGGGGGAAAATTGAAAAATGTTGAAAACATACATGTACATCAGATTAATGTACATGTAAGCAATCATAAGAGAAGAGAAGCATGAGTCCTTTGAAAGCTTTTACAAAGTTTTGACAAACTTAAGATGGGGCTTTCGCTCTCAAAAATAGACTTCACTTCAGATACAAAAATATCTCTTGTGGACAAAAGTAGATTTTACACAAAAAATACATCAAAAGATTAGTAATAAGATATTCTTAAGAGAGGAAGAGAGAATGAACAAATACCCACCACTTTCTTGCGAGCATGTCCAAGGCTTGTCGGTCAACGCTAAGGGATAGAGCATCAGCTCCTGCATCCAGCCCTGTGGGGAGCATAACCAGAATCAGATGGGTAACTCATGAATCACCATGGCAACAAAGATGGTTGTCATTTACCCCGGCCCTTTTTAGCAGCATCAAGAAATATGGGGAACAGACAGCGATTGATTGGAGGACACAACTCTTTATAAGACGGGGCCTTGAACTGCTATATTGTTTGGTACATGTAAGTGCATGTTCCACAGATAATGTATGGGTAACATAAGTCTTCTAAAGGTCAACCAAAGCAGGGAAGACTTGAAGTTCATTAATAAAAATTTATTTGCTTTGCATCTTTGGGCAATAATGGAACCAAACGAATAGATTTAGCAATAAAGTGCTTTGACTTTTAATAGAAAAAGAAGAAGAAACAAAATGAAACTCACATTGAACTTATTCCTTCCTAAGGGACCTTGCGCAATTGACACTGCTGCATCATCTTGAAGGTCAAAGTTCACGACCCCTTCAAGGGTGACATCTACAGAGGATTTGCACTCGGTGTAAAGGGTCAACTGATCACCATCGATGACGAGAAGGGTGTGCGCAAACCGCTCGGAATCGATCAAGGGCGTCGGAAGCACCGTCTGTAAGAGGCTATCAGATTCTCGTGTGCGATACCTGATGCGCATTTCACCGGTCCGCGTGATGGAGGTGAGTGTGAACAGCACCCCACCTTTCTGTGAACTGATGGAGAACAGCATCCCGGAGGTCTGTTCAGACTGCCGCGCGAGGAAGTGCACACTAAACGCATGGCTCTGCATGATCTGGTTCCGCAAGGGGGCGATCTGGTGCGGTGGGATGGTGATGAGGTCTGTTTTGGGGCGTATCCGCCAGATGATGGATTGGGAGAGTGGTCCTTGCTCTTGGGTTATTCCTTTGGTATAGTTTCCACTCGTGAAAACTTCTAGCAAGTCAATACCTAAAAGAGAAAAAGGGAGATATTCTATATATTAAGTTTAAGTTACCAAATCAATACTGTTTATGTTCTCCACAAATGACCCTGCATATTCTTTCTCTCTCTCTTTCTCTCTCCCTCTTTTTTTTTTCTCTCTCTCTCTCTCATATACATGTAACATGAACAATTTTAAAATGGCATTACATTAATTTTCCGATCAAAATTGTAAAAGAATATACATTTTCCACCTTTTTTAATTACACCAATTTAAATTTGTGAAAAAGATATTTGTAGGAACTTATGATTTAAAATATGTTCATCAATAACTGAAACAAGTTGAACACTTTAAATCTGTTATCATAATTGAAAACATATACGTACATATACATATATGGAATGGAAAGCAATTTAGATTCAAATCTCAAAGTTAGCTCTTAAAAAATACTGTCTGACAAAGGGGAGTTCTGGTGATTAGACTTCACACAGCCATCTCTGCAGGTTAAACAAAATCCTTAAAATACAAAATATTAATATTTACACTATTTTTTAAAAGAGAAGAAAAAAACAGAAGTAATAGGCAAGTGCATAGAAAGCTGGTGTATTGTATGGAGTACACTGTATACATGTACAACACTTTTGTTAGATGAAACCAATCTCCAAAAGCTGCATGCAACAAATTGGCAAACTTGTACATGTGTTAATTATTCATCCCCATTGTAAATTTGATGTTTTTGTGTGTATTGCAAGAATGTAAGGTGGACTGGTTGAATTAGGCCTTTCATGAATACTTTTAGACGTAAGCTTTAATATGTCACATCCTCAAGGAACATAATTCGGAACAATTCAACTTTTCACATACTTCAACAAATTACTGAACTTGGTTTGTGTATAAACATCAATAATTTAGTTCTGTACTTTTCCAATCGCAAAATTGACCATCAGCACTCCCGTACTCATCACCATCATTTATTTTGAGGTTTTACCGTGACTAAAATCAACCTCTAGAAGGAATGCCTTTAAGAGTATCTGACATTTGTCAATGAACTAATGATGACCAATACAGCGGCATTCACAGTTACTTACTGTATGCGTTGAAAGGAAGTTCAAAATTGGTCATAATTGGGCTCCATGGCGAGGAAAATTTGCGCAAAAATAAATCACAGTTGGATGTCATTATTCACTTTGACTACTGCGATTCTCAACCACAAACCTTCTTATTCATACTTATCATTCATGGCTATTATAAAATAGTGAGTCTGAATAGAAAATGATAAAAAAATTGGTTGAATAGTTACATAATTTTGTTCAAATTCACTTTGTTATCTCAATCAAAAGGTTGACAATTGAATCTACATTTGTAGTATGCAAACAAACTCAATTTTTTTCTTTTCTTTTTTTTTTTTTTTTTTTTTTTTTTGGGGGGGGGGGGGGGTAAATTTGACTACTAAAAATGATTAATTGTAAAAAGGTACTTGATTCTGTCATATCATGTCCTTGCTTGACTTTCAATACATACACATTCATTCCTAAAATCTCATGTCATCATTAAAAACAGAACTTCCAGCTTTCTCAAATAACCCAGAAAAATAATCAGCGGTAACCCAACGTCCCTCAAAATGAAATAATTTTTACCAGAGCATTTGAGACGAATCGAGAGGGGAGGGAAATTCTTAATATCCTGAACCGGCACAAACAACTACCGCCCTTACATCCAGTGAACAAGTGCAAAGTACTTCAGGATCAAATTTAGAGATTTTTTCAGTCTATAGGGCAACCCTTAGTTTGAAGACACAAACCCTTGTCAGTCATGCATGAAAGTGTCTGTAGAATGAGACTAAACAGCTCTGCACTTCTGTGCACTTGACAATGCCAGAAACTGACAGATCTAGGCTCTGTTCAAGGCTTTAGGAGAGTCTGTACTTGCAGACTATGTTCTGGTGATGGTGCATAAAAATACTGAAGAGAAAAAATATGTATCCATATGTACAGTACATGTGCCTGTGAATAATTTAGCTCTGCAGTGCTACATGTAGATAAAGAATGCTAAAGAGCTTGGAGTACAAAGAAAACAAATAACAAATACACGAGATATTGTGCAAAGCTGTGAGCAGATTTAGCTTCACTGTGAGCTAGGGCTACAAAGTGAATAACAGGAAATTCTGAGAAACAAGCTTGTGGAAGCTTGAAAAAAATCCTACAAATACTTTTTCTAAATAGAGTTATCACTCTATGCATTGACATTCTAAACAAAAGTTTTACAAATGCACAACAATGAGGTTTAAAAGGTAGTCATTACCGGTATGTGAACAAAATTATTGATTACACTTTTACAGTCAAGCTCTTAAAATCCCCCTAGAATATTATTCTGGCCTGTGTGTTTAAAATTACCTTTAAAGGCCAATTGTACTAGTTTGGCTAGGAGGGATTAGACCACCCAGGGAGGTCACTGTCAGGTGGCTATCTCATCAACTCAGCTCTCCATTAACATCAGAAAAAGAGGATCATGGGGGACCAACAGGTATCGATTATGCATTGTTTTCTATATAGAGGGAGCAAGTAGATACAAGTAGTACAGTGGGGCTTTAAATGACTCTAACACAGAGTGTCTATTGTCTCCCCAAGATATGACATTTCCATCTACATTTACATATTCATATGTGGTGTCTGCCTGTATTGGGAGTAAATATCAACTTTAATATTTATCAACATAACTGTTTTTTCTTTTCTTTTAACCACTTGATCAATTCAGAGTCAACCTAAAAAGAAAATTCAGCCAAAGTGGGCTAAAATCCTTCAAAAGTACTTCAAAATCATGACCCAAATGTTGTTAATGAGCTTGTTATGACTGTGACATATCCACTCATCTATTCATGGAAGTTGTCTGCCAGTATACATCCCTCAGACACTTCCCATGCTTCCTGCCTATGCGTTTCCACCGGACGTCCAGTCCGAATAGTTGATCTCTGAATAACTCACTTTGACAATTGAGAAGTTATAAACTATGTACATCTGAAGTTTAATAGAGAGACCTTTTCTAATTCTATAGCCAGGTTTGTGCAATCCTAACACATGGTGGTTCAACCAAAGACCATACATTTAGCAGGAAACATGGTTTGATTAAACAATTTTATATGCAGTACATATATATTGTAGGCCTTTATGTGTACATGTGTACATTACCTGAAGAGTTAAAGGTGAAGACCAGTTTTGGAAACGCCCCCCTCTCAAAAATTACAGGAGTCCAAGATACATTATAGTGAACATATTGTGACGTGTATGTGTTCACCCTATGTTTTAACTTTGTTTTCTTGTATTTTACTGCCCCCCTTTCCCTCTCCACTTCTTTTGCTGTCCCACCCAACTCCCCCCCCCCCCCACCCCCACCCCCTCTCACTCCCTCTCTCTCTCTCTCTCTCTCTCTCTCTCTCTCTCTCTCTCTCCTCTCTCACTTTGAAACATGTATCTAATAAATTTTCTGTGAAGTTTATTCTACTGTTCCTTAAAAAGTGTATTTCTTTTACTTCTACTTTTATTTTCCTTCTTCATCTCAGAAATGTTGATCAAAGTCAACAGTAATGTTCAATAGAAATGGAAAATGGATAGCAATTCATCATTCAGAGCACCTTGCACATGTATGTACATGCATTTCTTTCTCAAAGAACATCAAACTGTGCTCATCGATTTAAAAGAATAGTGATTTTGAACAGATTGCACACATTTTAACTTTGCAGCTTTGTATGTACAGTACCTGTACATGAAGAATAACAATTTTCTGGAAATTGCTCACAGCTAGCAAGCAGACACAAGTCATCACACCACTTTTTAGTTCTGATGATAAATATTAAGAAAATACATTCCAGTCATGAATTTCTTTACACCAAAATTTCAAACCTGGTCCATTGTGTCTCTGTCACATACAGCAATTACCAGGGCTGCATAGCCTGGGTTACTGTCAAATTTTAGAACCAGCAATTGAAGAATGTTGGATCAAACATACAAAAATGAGGAAGACAAATTTCATTGACTATTCCCTCCCTCAAAGTGCAAGAAATGGTTCATTCTGTCAAAGACATCACTTATCAGGGCTGGGCTCTTTTCTTGAGGCCAATCACCCATTCAAACTGAATGTTTTTCTTCTACCCAATTGCTTGACACCTGATAGAAATGGGTGATGTTTTCTTTCAAAACTCAAACACTTCCGCTGATCCCAAATTGACATTTTTCAAGAGAGAGATGTTTGACTGAAGTTGACTTTTGTTGTAGTTGTTGTTATAACAACATTATGGTGCCAATGTAAATACCAAGTTTGTTGTACCTTCATTATTCCACCCCCCCCCCCCCCCCTCCCATGTACAATGCACTAAGGCCTGACTTCATCAGACCGAAGTTGCTATAATTTAGCCAGCTAATGTGCGTTTTCATCAGCCTCCAGATGCAATTAGCAGGTTATTTGGTAAAGAAAATATCCTGAGAAATCTTGGTCTTGTTTCCCTAAAACCAGCTATTTTCCAAATAGCAGGCTATTTGGGCCTGTTTGTGAAAAGCATATCGAGCTCCTGGAAAATACCGAGTCTGAAAATAGCGGGTTATTTTGCAACTTCGGTCTGATAAAAACAGGCCTAAGGTACCTACTGAAGTTTACTATGAAGGCTATGCTAATATCAACATGAGTCACTCTAAAAAGGAAATAAATGAAGGGATAATGAATGGAAGAAAAGAGAGAGAAGAGCTGGATAAACATGCCATCATGAAATATAAGTTAATGGGAAAAAAGTAGAAAACTTTGGAAATCAAAAAGAGAAAAGTCATAAGGCTAAGGAGAAATGAGCAGAATGTAAAGTAACTTGTGAAGAAACAGGTGAACTCTAACATACATGTAAGGACTTTCTGCATAAAATGTATGATCCAGAAATCCAATTTAACAGAAGCAACTTTGATAAGATTTTGCAAAATAATCTAACATACAAATGAAGAAGTTCATTAGTTCATAAAAAAGACAAATGTCCTATAAAGAGAAATTAATAAAATATGGAATTACTGCAGAAGAAACCGCGGAACGCTAACAGGAAGACTTTCTGTACGTGAAACAGAAATCCAACAGTTTTTGTAAAATAATACAATCTACTTTTGAAGAAGTTCAAGAGTTCTAGAAGAATATTGGGGGGGGGGGGCTTGGGGTTCTTGCATACATGTACAGTTTTCTTGACAAGTCTTGCTTAAATTAATTCATAATCAAGAACAAATTTGGGGGGACTTTAAGACATTGGTGTGTGGGGGGGGGGTTGTTTGCAGGGGCACAAAGAGGCCTGGTGAGCTGTAGAGTAACATACATGTAGTGTCTGAAATCTCTGTACTTTAGCAGTACAGCAACCAGACAGAGCTAGACTCATTACATGTTTAAGAGTCTGTGCATCAAGACTAGAAAGGCTCCAAGCACCCCCCCCCCCCCCCCTCTCTCTCTCTCTCTCTCTCTCTCTCTAGAACCACTTACCTACTACAATACTTCATCTTGTACATTATTGTAGGCTGCAGTGAAAAGGTGTACATGACTTGTACAAGCAGCAATCATGCAGTTTACTCAAACTGATGCAACTTTATCCGCAACTAAAGAGATTGTTATCACTATCTGGCATCTGTGCACCTGTAGACCTTCGTTTACTGTAAAATGATCACCAATTTACTCTACACAGGATGACCCGGGCCCACATGTCAGAATTTATTCCCATTGTATGTCCATCCTGTATATGTAGGTCAACATGATTGTAACTTATTTTTGTTCACCTTTACTTCTAAACTCAAATGTGTGTTCTTATCTGAGCAGCCCCCCCCCCCCCCCTCCAACAAAAAGGATTATTTGTTTCCACTTTTCACAAAGCCACTGGCTGTACTGCATGGTTGTCGGCTGTACAGGTTAAAATTTAAAATTTCAATTGTCTATCATTCCCTGAGTATTATATATCTTTCTCTCTCTCTCTCTCTCTCTATACATTTCTCTTTCTCTCTCTCTTGATCTCTCTCCCTTTATTTTTTTCTGAATAGCAATTATACAATTTTTAATTGTTCTTGCTAAGAAAAGATGTTACTTGACAAGAGAATGCACTTACTTCTTTTACCTCATCCTTACTTTTACTTGCATGTCATATGTACGTTTGATTATTTATATTTTCTTCCATTTCATCTCTCTCGAGTCTTGTACATGTACATACACTTTCATCCTTTCTGAGACCTTTTAAGTTATATCTTTTCATTCACACCCATTTGCATCCAATAATTTTAATTATCAACATGAGAATGGAAGTAAAAATGCTGTATTTTCCAGCCTTTCATATTTTGTTTGGTTTGGTTTAGTAGTTGCAAGGTGCATCTCCTAATTCTTACTCTTTATAATATTATAGATCTCTCACTGACTAGTCTCAAGCTCTTGATCCATACAGTCAGAGGCAATTCAATTCAGCTCAGAGCACTGTCACCCACCGTTTTATAAAATATGATTACATACAATATACATTTCATGAACAATAGAAACTAAAATGAATGACATTACCTTCAAAACCAGATACCGCTTCGCTCTGTGCATGTTTAGCCATGATTGACAGTTCACCGAAAATCACAAGCACGACCACAACGAAAGCGCCCGCTGAGCCACGGGGCCATCTACCGCTACGCGACACCATGTTCCCGCTGTAATCCGATCCCCGAAACTTCTTTTTGTGTCACCAAAGAGTCAAGTGCGAGTAATTCCGATAAAAGAATCCGTCAGTGTTTGCATCAAGTTACATTCTTCCGTAGAATGATATCTAAGGAATCATTCTGGAGGATCCCCGACGCCTAGAACTTGAGAAATCGACTCTTTAGACGCGAATTTGTCACGTCTAATTTTCGATACTCCAGATTTTCTTGACGATCGCCGTCTGCTGTACAGATTGCTGTCATAACCTGCAAGTGACCTAAAACTTTTTGTGTACACATACACGACAGTATTACAGGAGTAGCAAGCAAGTTCGGGGATTGACCCTAGCGCTGCACAGATTTTCGGAGGCAAAGCGATTTGCAACGCATCGCTGCTTCGAGATAAACAATCTGGAAACAAGATTTTGGTTGTTTGGCTACTAGTCTGTGAAGCAGACTTAATTTTGAGAGATATATTTGTTATCAGTCTTCCAGTTGATATATAATATTACGAGCAGGGGCGACTGAGCATCTTTCAAAATGAGGGGGGCATCAACAAAGGGCAGGGCACTTTCTGGAGAAAAAGGGGCACATACAAAGAGAAACCTCAAAGCGAAATATACAAGTTTTAGACATTGGTAGGCATCATACATGTACATACCCTGTATTGTAGGTGATTAAATGTATACCTTTATCTTCATATTTTCGATCTTTAAGAAAGAAACCAAAAAAATAAGTTAAAATGAGAGCGACCTTTGGGTAAAGTTGAAGAAAAATTCGATATCAGCATGCTATTAGTCGCTTTAAACTAGGAGCATGTTTTATGGCGAAAGGAAATGGGACGCATATCCAAAGTTAAAAGGACACTTATTAGAGATATAATGGAGCACGTGTCAAAGTAAACATCGAAATTTTCAGAGCTGAAAATGGGGTGCCTGATTAGGGGCACTCACCAAAGATGAAAAGGGGTACTTATGAGAACGGAAAAGGGACACTTACTTCCAGGGGCGGCGATCCCGGGGGACGAGGGGACACGTACCCCCTCAATTTGTTAGGGGGGATCGTCCCCCCCCCCCCCCTCAAAATTCGAAAAAGTGCACAAACAAAATGTATAGCAAATACTAACTTAAGACTGCAACACACTTTTAGGCTCTGGAGGGCCTAAGAGTATGGTGGCCCTGAAGGGACATCGCGAATAGACTAAATCGTGAAAAATATGCGATAAAATTCACGATATCGTCAATTTTATCGCATATTTTTCACGAAGAAATTCACGAAATTGACGATATCGTGAACTTTATCGTGAACTTTTCACGCTGAAATTGACGATATCGTGAATTTTATCGTGAAAAGTTCACGATATAAAGTTCACGATATCGTCAATTTTATCGTGTACTCTATCGTGTACTCTATCGTGTACTCTCCTGACGGGCGCTTCGTAAACAAAACCAGCCCTAGCTGAGGGAGACAGAGAGAAGGAAAAAGGGAAAGGGAAAGAGAAGATAAAAGGAAAGAAAGAATAATAAGAAGAAAGAGGGAAACGGGGGGGGGGGGCGAAGGGCTCTTGCCTCCTCCTCACTCCCCCCCCCCCCCCCTCCCCGCCAAAAAATAAATCAGAGAGAGAGAGAGAAGGGAAGGGAAAGGGAAACCGAAGATAAAAGGAAAGAAAGAAGAGGAAGAAGAAGAAAAGGGAAACGGGGAAGGGCGAAGGACTCTTGCCCCCCCTCCCCCCCCCCCCCCCGCCAAAAAATAAATCAGAGAGAGAGAGAAGGGAAAGGGAAGGGAAGAGAAGATAAAAGGAAAGAAAGAAGAGGAAGAAGAAGAAAGAGGGAAACGGGGGCAAAGGGCTTTTGCCTCGTCCCCCCGCCCCCCGCCAAAAAATAAATAAGAGAGAGAGAGAGAGAAGGAAAGGGAAAGAGAAGAAAGAAAGAGAAAACGAAAAAGAGGGAGAATAGGAAAGAAAGGAAAAGAAAGAAAAGAAAGGAGGCAAGAGCCCTTCGCCCCTGTTTCCCTCTTTTCTTATTCTTTTTCCTCTTCTTTCTTTCCTTTTATATTTTCTTTCCCTCTCCCTTCTCTTTCCCTTTATGGCGGGAGGGGGGAGGGGAGGTAAGAGCCTTTCGCCCTTCCCCCCTTTCCCTCTTTCCTTCTTCCTCTTCTTTCTTTCCTTTTATATTTTCTTTCCCTTTCCCTTTCCCTTCTCTCTCTCTTTATTTATTTTTTGGCGGGGGGGGGGGGAGTGAGGAGGAGGCAAGAGCCCTTCGCCCCCCCCCCCCCCCCCGTTTCCCTCTTTTCTTCTTATTATTCTTTCTTTCCTTTTATCTTCTCTTTCCCTTTCCCTTTTTTCCTTCTCTCTGTCTCCCCCAGCTAGGGCTGGTTTTGTTTACGAAGCGCCCGTCAGGAGAGTACACGATAGAGTACACGATAGAGTACACGATAAAATTGACGATATCGTGAACTTTATATCGTGAACTTTTCACGATAAAATTCACGATATCGTCAATTTCATCGTGAAAAGTTCACGATAAAGTTCACGATATCGTCAATTTCGTGAATTTCTTCGTGAAAAATATGCGATAAAATTGACGATATCGTGAATTTTATCGCATATTTTTCACGATTTAGTCTATTCGCGATGTCCCTTCAGGGCCACCATATAAGAGTGCAGCGTTTAGACAAATAAAAATGCAAAAATCTTCTCACTCGGGAACTACGCTCCCTCGTATTATATCCTTCAAAATGTACAAGTAAATACCGAGAAAAGTGAAGTGTGGAAAAAGTATATTGCTTGTTTTTATACTATAGTTTTGCTAAGGACTGTAAATTTTGAATACAACACAACTTCAAAAACCTGTGAGG